CAAATTAGAGTAATTATTTAAAAATAACTGTTTGTTAATCCATATTTTCCTTTAAGGTAATTTGGATTCCACAAGTCTTGATGAAAGTAAGTAAAATTGGCTTGATTTTATAATTTGATATATTTATACATTATGTTTCTAATATAATATCTCTGTTTCTTTCAGCCCCTTTGACTCCATCAAATTGTGACATTAATCCGCTAATGATTGGTTCGACAAGATCTTGTATTATTAAGAAATTTGTGAATACTGACGGTGGTTCGATCAATGTTTTACATATTCTCGTAGACACTCCGGGAATGGAGGATTTTATGTTTGACATAAACCATAAAGCTTGCATCATACGTGGGACAGAAGAGGAAGAGGAAAAGAAGAGTAATTTTTTGAAGAGTGAAAGAAACTACTTCATTTCTATGATATTTGATTGTTCTTGTTGTACATTTGATGCAAAAGGGACTAAAAGGAGACACCAAATTCTTAAAGATGGATTGCTCCATCTTCAATTAAGGGTTTTAAGTTCGAGTAAGCTCATAACTGTCAGCTGAAATACAAATTACTCCGTAGATGCTAATTTTAATGGTTAATTTATTATGTATTATGATATTTTTTTTTAGTTTTTTTACAGTCTATGATTGTTATTTCAATTTAGAAACAAGTTTAATTTATGATTTTCCAAATCAAATGTCTTATATTCTATATATAATTACATTGAGATACTCTGTCTTAATATCAAGATAATTTTAGATATTGAGACATCACTTAAATAAATCACACCTTTTATTAATCAATCATTATTGTGATAATCAAATTTTTTTTTATCATCATATGACAGTTTCATAACTAAGGCCTTGTTTAGAGTGATTTCCCAAAATAATGTAATAACACAAACTAATTCCTTATATACATTGGTTTAAAAACTATTTCCCACGATACCTTCCATGCAGGATCGGTTCAGTATTTGCAAGTATAAAACCGCTAACATTGTTGGCGGTTTTTAACTAATATAGAACCTCTATTGGTATTAGAGGTTCTATGCATAGAACCTCTAATGGTATTAACGGTTTTATATATGAAACTGCTAACATTATTAGCGGTTTTATACTGCAAAATTCCAAACCCAAGAACCAATCCTACGTGGACGGTATTGTGGGAAATAGTTTTTAAAACGACTTATATAAGGAATTAATTTGTATTTTAGCATTATTCAGGGAAATCACTCCCTTGTTTAGTTCAACTAATTTTTACTTATTTCTGAAAAAATAAGTTCAGATCAGATCAAATCAAAAAAAATAAGTTCAGATCAGATCATCATTTTATGTGCAATTTTTTACTGTTAAATATCTTTAATTTCGTAATGAAAAAAATTATGAAAATTACATATTAATAAAATAAACATTATTACGTATCTAACAGCAAGAACCCACTTGATATATTTTTTCTTTACAAATTATCGTACACTTATGGTCAAATCACTACTAGAAAATAGGCCATTTCCGACGGAAAAATTTCGTCGGAAACACCTTGCACCCTGTTTTCCGTCGAAAAATCCTGTTCCAATGAAATTTTCTTCGGAACCGGTTGTCGGAAAAGCTTTTGTAGGAAAAACGACCTTTTCAACGGAAATTCCGTCGGAAACACTATTTTGACAGAGGAAGAGGTTTTACGGCACCGGAAAAGTCCGTAGGAAACTGATTTACTGAAATTAAAAAAAAAAAAAAAACACACCACACCACCACCGGCACGGCGTATTACCACCTCAGAACACCACCAGCCCTTAACTAACCCTAAGCCCATAGCACCATCAGACCGTCACTCCCCAAACTAACCCAATTCCACCCACCACCGAACCCTAACCCACCCGAATCAGCCACCACCACCGAACCCTAACCCAGGTTCACCAACAACCACCATCGAACCCTAACCGAAAATTAAACCAAATCCACCAACCACCACCACCGACACCACCCACACCACCACACCAAAAATTAACCCCAAAAAAACATAAATTAGGCCAAAAGTATGAAAATTAACACAACAAAATCGAAAAATACCACACAAAAAAATCAAAACCAGTAGATCTACATATTTAATCAAAATTTCATAAAAAAATAAAAAAAAACGATAATTAAACAACAAAAATTAAAGGAAAAACAATTATCTAATCAAATTTATAATTAACATTACAATTACATAAAAAATTAACTAGATCTATAATCTAACCTAAATTAAAACTAGATCTACAAAACAAAAACCTTGAGAGTGGGTGACTCGCAACGGTGGTTGTCGGCGCTGTTGTTGTTGGTGTTGATGTTGGTTGACGGTGGTTGTGGTTGTTGTTGACGGTGGTTGTGGTTGTTGTTGTCAACGGTGGGTGTGGTTGTTGTTGACAGTTGAAGGTAGCCGTTATTGTTGACGGAGAGAGAAAAGCAGGACGGAGAGACAGAAGAGGAGGACGGAGAAAGAGAAGAGAAAGAAGAAAACGGAAGAGGAGAAGGGAAAAAAGATAGAAGAAAACAGAAGAAGGAAGAGGAAAGAGGAGAGGAGAGAGAAAGAGAAGAGAAAGAGAAGAGAGAAAGAGAAGAAGAGAGGACAGAGAAATAGAAGAGAGGCAGAGAGAGAGAAAAGGAGAGAAATGAGAAATGAAAGGGGGAAGGGGTAGTTCCTTTTTTATTAGGGTTTGGGTTTTTTTATCTATTTTTTTTTTAAAAAAAACCCATAATTCCGTCGGAAATTTCCTACAGATTTGAAATTCGTCGGAAATTAATTAATTTTCAACGGAAAATCCGTCGGAAACTAAATATTTTCCGATGGATTTAAATTTCGTCGAAAATTTCGTTTTTTTCCGACGGATTTTCGTGTCCGTCGAAACACATCCGTCGGAAATTGACCTTTTTCTAGTAGTAAAGTTTGGTCAAATCAGACAATAAGATCAGATACACCAGATCAGATAAGTTCAGATAAGCAAAACTAAGGTGAACTAAATAGGGCCTAAATCAATAACTTTTTCACAATAGTTATTATGTGCACCATGGTGCACCTAGAAATAGGTGCACCACAACTATAATATGAACATTTAGTAAAAAAATCTGAATACTTTACAAAAAATGAACATTTTGTATAAAAATATGAACACGCCACAAAAAATGAACATGAACATCCAATTTTATATGTTCATATTTTATAACGTAATGTTCAAATTATATGCAATAAATGTTCGGTTATATTACAAAACTATTAAAATTATCCCAAGCTAGTAAACTTCTTTCAAAAAAATTTTGTTCATTATAAAATAGTGCTATGTTCATATTTAAATTTCAATATTCATTTTCAAATAATAAATGTTCAAATTCGAGTAGTGTCATATTCATATATATTGATGCTCATTATAAAATAGTGTAATGATTATATTTGAAAATTTCAATGTTTATTTTCAAAAATTATATATTCAAATTCTAACAGTGTCATATTCATATTTTATATGTTCTTTTTCAGAAAACTATAGTTTTAAACTTTATTTATATAATTGTTAACGAAAAATAGTTTATATTAATTCATTATAAATTCTTTGTATGTTCATTATAATGTACTAAATGTTCATTTGAAATATAATAAATGTTCATTTTATATATTAAATCCCAATTGAGGTTCGTAATTCCTTAACCCAAATTAATTAATGTTCATATAACGATCTATTTCAAATGTTCATAAAAAACATATACATGTTCAGATATCTAACATAATATGTTCATAATTACAAAACTTAAAAAGGTTTTTAAAATACATAAATCGAAATCAAAATAAATTTTCATATGAAAAAAATCAAATGTTCAGATATATAAATTATAAAGTACAGAATGCTAAATTTTTTAAATGATTAAAAATACATAGATCTAAAACAAACAAAAAAAGTTCATAAGTAATGTATCACAAGTTCAGAATTATAATTAAGATGTTCATAATTTCAAAAATATATGTCGGTAAAAATAAATAATTATTGAAAACGTATCATACGTTCATATTTTTAACTTAAAATGTTCAAAATACCAAAATATAACCAAATACAGAACTGTTTATAACAAAATACACAAATAACACTAACAAAAAAATCAAAACAATACGAAAGATACATTTTCCGATCCGAAACTCAAACCTAGCCATGGCGATTTAGATAATGGAATCTCTTTGGAAAATAGTCATCTCTGCCGTCTTAACCACCTTCTCCTCGTTGAAGCCGCCATTTTCAGCTTCACTTTATGCAGAAACTCCATTAACAAAGTTTCAAATCGAAAGTTGAAGAAAATGAAATTTGAATTTAATCTATGGTAATCAACAATGGTGATGAAGGAATTCAATCTATGGTGATCAACAATGATGATGAATGATTTCAATCAAAAACAAAATGATGAAAAAATTTAAGAGAGAAAAAAATAGAGGAAGGAGAAAAATGGAGGAGAGAGAAAATAGAAAGTGTTTCTGGAAACATAATACTCCTCAGAGTGTTAGGGTATGATATCAAGATGTCCTAAAGACTAAATCCAAGTATTGTCCAAATGTTCTCTGGCTCCGCCTAGGAAGGATATGTCCAAGAGCTCCGCCTTGCACAGGTATGTCTGAGAGCTAGGCCCTGCAAAACAGAGAAGGTTAACTGCTCCGGGGGTGTAACCCGGGAAAGCCCCTCTGATGCTTCAATCAGCGAGAATACTTCTAGAGAAAGAAAGTAGAGAGAGAGAATTTAGAGAGAGAAAGTAGAGGGAGAATTAAGAAAAAGTCCGTATCATTAATGAATGATGAGCTATTTATAGATGTACTTTTCAGGTGGCAGACTTGTACTTGAGTAGACAGATTAAGAGCAAATCCGTACTTTGCAATGACTAATGATGGGTTAGATCGTGGAGGGGTATTTTCGTCATTTCAGGTCATTGGGGTTAGGACAATGGACTATGCCCAAACAGAGAGAAAAATAGAGGAGAGAGAAATCAGAAATTAGAAAAGTGTGAGGGGGGGAAAAGATAAGAGAGAGAATATATTTTTACTTGATGTTTCACTTAGTTAAAAATTTGCGATTGTTCAAATATTTAAACTAATTGACATGGTGCACCTAGAAATAAGTGATTTGCGACTTTTTCATTTTATGTAAACATATAGTTGATAAATTGGAAAGAACTCCTAGTCCGTGAGTTGATACTTAAAAAGTTCATAAAAGTTGATATTCGGAAAATACAACGAATTTTAGAATATCGCCTATGGAGTATTTTGAAATGGATGGAATACTGAGCTTACTAATCAAACCGACTGTTAACATCAGCAGCATTTGCTGAATTTTCTTCTTCAAATTTAACTCTACAGTCGTCGTAATTCAAACCAACCAACATTCTCGATTAATGGATTCACCTTCGTCATCATCATCATCATCGTCCTCTGAATCACCATCATCTGAATCACAATCATTATCATCTAATGAATCGAGAGCAAAAGCATCACATCATATGGTACTACTACGGTGTTCATTAACATTAGGGTTTATGTTCATCTGCATATTTTTTCTCTCCTATACTTTCGGCTTCTTCGCTTTACTCTTCTCCAATTTCTCAATTCCTCCTCCTATTTCTGTTCCTTCTCAATGCAAAATCGTTTCCACCAGTAAGTTCATACTTTTCTTTTACTGCAATTTTGAGTTTTTATGATGTTGGTTTAAGTATTTTAGCTTTAATTTGTGTATGCCGGTATATAATTCATCCAATTTATGTGATATAAGTTAGGTTAGTGTATGATTAGTGACTTTGGATTGTTAATGGACTGCTGAAATTGAATTTTTAGTGATTTTGGCCTATTTGTGTTTGAAATAGTATATGTTAAGATGTGTGATATAGGTAAGGAAAGTGTGTACTAGTTAAAGTTTGGATTGATGAAATTAGGTTGACTATGTTTATTGGACATAAGATTTGTTGAATTCTAGTTGTTGGGGAAAGTGTAATGATTTTCGATTAATATTGATTATTCACGAGGTTCCATGAGATGAGGTTCATTTCGTTTTGGATATTATAGCAAATGTTTCACTATGAACAAGTGTAAACAACCAAAATTAACAATTGTAATGATGTGTGTAACATTAATATAAACAACCCATTCATCAACAATGGTAATGAGTGGGTTTGAGTAGATAAACCCAGTGACGGATTCCCTACACCTTAATGGGACTTCGGGATGCCTATGGTGATTAGAGTCATCTCTTGCACCTCTCGACTACCTTTACAACAATTTTCTTAAATTGCTATATAGTTGTACCAAACTTATTTTCGGGACATTATAGACTTATAATTGCTCCAAACCTACATTTATGAACTTGGGGTCTCTGGGAATACCTTCTACACCCACTTCAATTTTGGAAAAAACTTTTCGAAATTGGTCCAAAAGGGAATAAGTGAATAACCTTTAACGTTGGACAGTTTTCAATTTTTCCACGCTCTAAAAGAAAATAGGATGAGGGATTTCCCATTAACCCTAAGAGACCTCAGGAGACCATTTGGGTGGTTGAAATCATCCACTTTGTCTCTTATCTATATAATCTATATGGATATGTACATGTCTTCGTTCATTAACTCAAGGCCACCACGGGCCTTTGTGAGACCTAATATTGGCCATATATGGTTCCAAATGACATTATATGATCCTGAGATGCGCTCCCTGCCTTCACTTGAGCTTATGATATCGGGTCCCAAAATCTCCGAAAATGGTCCGTTTTTGTGTATTATTGCCTTCAAATTCGCTTCCCGGAGAATTTTCGAACTTGGCAAGGTTAGGCATTGGGGTGCTTCCCTTGGTTCCCAAAGAGAACCGAGAGGCCTGTTTAGTGCCTAGAACTATTTCATTCATGCCTTGGCCTCCCTTATAATTATGTCAGTATGTCTTATGATGCCTTACCATTCTAGAACAGATATATAACCTTCTATAGCAATTCCCTAGAGCTGCTCAAGGGTCCCATAAGATGTACATGATACGTATTTGCATTTGCCTTTGAAAATATGAGCAGATTGATATAGTACTTTATGTTTTCAGGTGTTGACTTGAGATCATCAAAGATATGTGAACTTGGGCTACTTAATTATAAGGCCAAGCGTGTTTTTTACCCATCTGAAAGAAGGAAGTTTCGCTGTCATTATGATTACTATTGGGCTTCTATATTTAAGGTTGTGTTACATTTTAGGACATTTTGTAAATTATAGCTTCTAATATTCTGAATTTTAGCCTCTTATTCTTGATTGTGGCTGATATGATCTGATACTTCTGTGCCTTAAACTTACAATTTTTGTCATTGATTTCTCAAACAAAATGAATCGTGAATTGTTATGGTCCTGTAACCTGTTAGCTATGTTGCTTTGATTTTTACCTTGCTTGCCGTACCCATGTGGATTGTGGAATATTGTTGTCATCCTGCAAATGTTAAAGAAGAATTTAGTAAAGACTAGACATATCCTTGTTGGACGGAGTACCAAGTCTGACAATTTTGGTGAGTCCAACTAACATATTTTTCGAGTATGAGAATGAGTTAGTTATTGCTTATTGAAATGTTTTTTCTACTAACATGTAAATATCAATCGTTAAATCATTAGGTATAGTTGAGGCATTCAGACTTTATCCCACCTTGACTTTCAAAACCACTGCTTGCTTGCCTTTTGCAGCAGTTCCAGAGTTGACTCTTCAAGCTTGCCCTAAATCTTAAACCAACTGGTTGCTTGCCTGCCTTTTCAACTAATTCTTAAGGTGATTTTCTATAATATGGTACTTTTGCCAAAATTTCTGTGTTTATGCTGTATAGTTTAACGTCTGATCTCTGACAGTTATAGTGCCTCTGCTATTTGGGACATAGGTGACTTCTAGTGGATCGTCAATTACCTTAAAGCAAGAGGTTGAAAAAAAGTATGTGGGTTTGAGACAAGTCCTTTCCCTTTTAAGTTTACTTGTTTACTGCCTTTTTGGGGATTGAGATAAAGCCAAAATTACTTATTGCGGGCAGAGGAAAAGAAGATCAAGGAAAGGTTTGTGTGTTAGCAATATAATGGTGAGAAAATGAAAAGCAATGACACTGAGGAAGGAACTTTTAGTATATCCTTGTCCAATTGTACTGAAAAATGGCCTGGTTGGTAGGAATGCTGATGGACATTCTCACTGAAACTAGAATGAACTTCTAGCTGGTGCTATGGATTGAATGTTGGCTGCTTGAGTACCATTGTTATAGTGTAACAATAGAGTTACCATATATTCTATGATAGTGGTGCTTACTGTGGATGCTCTAATATCTTTAGCTGTGTCATTTTAACTGAATCTTTAAAAATATAACTTTACCTTATATTATTCCTTGAAAATGGCTGAACATTTTATCTGAATAGCCTTAAAGTTGCTAATTCAACATGACTAAAAGATGCAGTCCAATTCATGTTTAGTTCCAATTACATATGGCTTCTGACAATCATCTGTGATTTAACTGTAAGAAAAGCTACTCCTTATATATTGAGAAGTAATAATTGTAAAACTAACTTTGATTGTTGAATGATTAGTTGTGTTTCCTTAGTTAAATTTTGTGCTTGTCTATTCATAATTCTTGTTCAATCTAATAGGTGGAATATAGATTCTCAGGCCAAACATTTCTTGGTCTGGCAGAAGCTCCAAAGGAAGCTCTTCCTAGTGATTGCCGACCTAATTTTTCTACTGCATGGTTGACTAAACATATGCTAAAGGTAAATGTTATTCAGCTCTGGTTTAGCTATGTCTTTGAAAGGCCTATATCATCATTAGATTTCTCCACTACATCCATTTTTTATTAATGTTAAAATCTAATTTTCTGCCTACATTATATTTGGTACTGGAGTAACCTTGATTTCTATAGTTTGCCATCAAATTAACTAATTCATATCAATAAAGAAACAGCCATTTTTGTAACTGTTGATTGAAAAAGTTGGAAAGAGCTTGATATTTGTTAGCAAATGATCACCTAGGTGATAGAGACTAGGGAGATATATGGGGTCTTTCATTGTTTGTACCTGTGATGAGGATACTAATGGGGCATGAAGCACTTTCTAAAAGTTCTTGATCACATCATTTGGGTGACTGAGGTTTTGGAGTCCAAATATGTCAATGGAAGGTTATTGGATGGAAAACTCTGATTTCCTTTGATATGCCTTATTTGAGGCTATATGGATGCATATGCAGCTTGACAGTACCTTATGCCATGCCGACAGCTGTTGGATTTTTCAATTATAGCTCTTAGAGCTAGGAGTGACCATGTCATTATTGTACATTATGCTGACTGATACTAGAAATAATAAGATTGTTTACTATATGTATTACACTCTGATCTTGTAATAAAGTGATATTCCTATGTGATGGATTAGGTGAATGAAACCTACGATTGCTGGTATACCTCTGGGCGATCAAAAGTTGAGATTTTTCACGACAGTTACTTTGGTTGCCAAGCAAAAGATCCATCATTGTCTGAGATGATGAAAAGATGCTCCATACTGTGAGTATTTCTTGAAATTCTGAATCTAAACATTGATTCTTATAGTTCTATCATCTTTACTACTCAGTAAAATAACAATTAATGCAGTCCTGGTCATGTATCTATAATCTACCGTTAATTTTATACAATTTTTTTTTTTTTACTGAATCACTGACAAGAATGTCTCATACAGAGTAATAATTTTGTTTGGACTTGTTTTCAGTGTGGATCACTAACTCATCTGCTATGCCTCTTGTTGCTGCAGGTTCACAAAGATGATGCAGTCATGGTCATCCGGTAAACTTAGATCTAAACGCATGGGATGGGAAGTGATAATAGGTGTCATTAGTGGGTTTCTCATTGCCATGATTTCCTTTACCTTGTTTACACTCTGTGGTCAATTGTTATGTTCGATTCCTAGAGCTGCAGCAGCAAGGGCAAACTCACTAATACATCGGGTGATTTTTTCTCGGATTTTTTTGCTTGTGACATACTTTTCCATTGTAAGCTGGTTAGCAATTCAGTATGGTAAAAGACTTGGCCTCCCCGAATTCTTTATAGGTTACTAATAATCAACAGCATATATATAAAGTGGGTGATTCCCTGTGCGAGCTCAAAAATTGCAGCAATTTTGGCACATCAAGAGAATTTTAGAAATCAAAAACTGCCCTTAAGGATAGAACAGGTTACTGCACAAATCTTTCGAGCAAGTGACTCCGCAAGCAAGAAACTGTCAGTGTATAATATTAGCTTGTACTCGTAATAATGTAATATAGAACAAGTCGTCTGATCAGGTACCAAGTCTCTCATGTATTCATGGACCAAGCAAGAATACGGTGGAAAGTGCTTTGGTGTAGCTATCTGTACGACTGTACATGTACTAAACCCAGATATTTTTCAGAAAAAAAACCTAGGTATACTGTATTCATATTTTTATTTTTTCTTTTTAGCTGTGAGCCTTAAAAGATGGTCCAAAGGGAGATTAATACATTCCGGAGGGGTGGATAAAGTCATAAGCATAAATACTACGTAGAAAAGAATTTATAATACGATTTTATGTTCATGTTCAACACAAAGTAATTGAATTTAAAATTTTATACTACGTAATTTGATACTCTACATCTAAAATCGTACTACAATCTGTAATGTATTTCCAATCCAACAAGTGTAATTGCATAAAAACCTAAAACGCCCTTCAATTTTTTTAATGTATTTCAGAAATTTAATTTCCGTCATCAACTCATCGGATGCATATAAAACTATATATACTGCGCATAAGTGTACACGTAACATTGGGGTAAATACTGAGCATTAGCTAAATATTTAGTATTTTTCAATAAATACAACGTATGTCCGTGAATTAAACCAAATTCTCTCGTGCATGAAGTAGACATCATCCGCCAGAATTTCACTTTAAATAAATCTGATTATCCACCCATCTTGTTATAGCAAAGGAAACACAAAACTGGGACTTTAATATGAAACAAGGTAGAAGAATATATATAATATCCTAATTTAATTCTACCAAAATGCATAAAACTAGACATAATTTTAGTAACCCCCTAGTACCCAACTAAATATGCGCCTTCAAAACTTCAAGTGTACATATCTCTTCTGACTACTTCCAGAGAATATCTTCGAGTTTCATGCAAATGGCATGGTGAGGAGAAGTGCCATGGAGCTTCAACCAAGAGCTTCAGTAGGACGACATTTACAATATGACTTAAGGATCAAATAGCACTGCCAAAGCTCAATACTGAGCTTTAATCAAGATCCTTATTATCAATTTCATAATCTCACATTCACTGAGACACACACCCAGATTAACAATATGGGTTACCTTCAAAATCATTCATCATCAGAGTCAGCAAATGTTATCTTTGTAGCTTTGGGAGCATCAGCTGTGATCTCTCTGAAATGAGCACCATAGAGCTTGGACTCCTACAAGTATAAGGTCACATAAGCTTGAGCAAGAGCAAAACATCACAAATTTCACGACCAGAACTACTAATTTCCTCGAAAAGAAATTTATATAGGAGGGAGGAGGGGTGGGTTAAAACAAGTCGACAAGGAGCGATCAAAGATGCTTACCTTTTTCTTTACATGGGTACCAAATTTTACAAGATCGGGAGGTATATGCTGGTTAGCTTCTCGGAGAACATTCACCAGCTCCCCAGCGAGACCCTGTAGAATGGTGTAAAATTTATTACTAAGGTAAATTTAAAATGGAATAGTAGTAATATAGTTGACTAGATGTAAGTCTCACCTTGTTCTCTTTGGTAAAAAATGTGTGAGCAACACCCTTTTTACCAGCTCGTCCGGTTCTCCCTATCCTGTGGACATAGTCTTCTGTAGTGAGCGGAAAACTGTAGTTGATAACTACTTCAACATCTGGAATATCCAAACCTCGCGCAGCCACATCAGTTGCTATCTGTAAATGCAGTTATTCCAAATTAAACTCCAAAACTAAATTGAAGACTCATACACTAAGCTCATAGTTGTAGTACCGTCCAATGACACAGCTACCTCAGATATAGTTGCACTACAACCAAAAAAAAGGTGCCTTGAAATTTGAAAATTACTGGATTTACTAGCTAAATATAGTAAATGGCACTAAAGGACCCTATTTAAAAAATAAATAAAAAAAAAAACCTTCATAAAAAAATTGTCTAATAGCTAGTTTTTGGGTAACGAATCTAACGATAACTAATTGTTAAATTTAGATACAGAATCATTTCAGCTAAATTGTAACTAAATTTAAAATTTCATCTTGCAAAACAACACTTTTTAAAAAGAGTTCAAAATTTCAGCAAAGCTAAAATTGCTTGCTGTAAACACTTATGCACAAATTACGTACCAATAATGGACAAGTTCCACTCTTGAACAAGGCCAGTGATTTTGTCCGTGTAGATTGTGGTTTACCAGCATGTATAGCAACAACATTCCAGCCCCTAAAAAGCACAAAATATTGGAAACAACTTCAAAAAATACTAGAAGGACAAAAAAATACTGGAAAAAAACAATGGAATTATAAAGCTACCTTCCTTGCAGCATCCTCTCTACTCGGTCTCCTTCCTTCTGATACAGGACAAACACTATAACTCTATTCCTGTACAAGAGAATAAACAGAGTTCAGAACGATGCATCAACACATTCACACTGAAAGTGAGGAATCTACCCAAAATAAACAATCAGAGAAGAAAGAACATAAAGAGTGTCTCATCTAAATTTAAAACATTGATAGATGTCAAGCAGATAGCCAATGTCCCACCCAAATGATTTGTGGAACGCTAATAGAAGTCTTTGTGCATATAGTGTCTTCAACACCCCATATAATATATTTTTCATTTTTTCTGGACCCCACATAAGAAGCTTCACATTTTGACAATATTAAACATGTCATTTTCTTAATGATAACGTACTTTTACCATGCCCATTCTCAACAGAGATGAAAGAGTATCTGACAGAGTGACAGTCAAATTTTAAACTTAGGATTACAATGGACTAAATGGTAGTAGTAGAGGCATCAGATGACGTTCGAACCAGGTTATCAGAAATAGCTTCTTTGCACTTGTAAACAAGCCTCCTTGTCCATGTTAATTCTAAGCCTTATCAAAGGCTTGAAGCCTTGAAAGTAATATCAAAGTTGATAAAGAGGCAAACTGTTTTATTTTGTCTTGATATCAACAGTGATATCAAAGGTGCTCCTTCCATCAATTACTTTTTTTTATTTTGTTTCAACTTTAACTACCTATTTAACAGCTAAGCAGATAAAAGGTTGATGAGAGGCAACTGTTCAATCCTAACATGAAGAACATACTTCTGAGACTCATGGTATTTGTCGAGCAGAGACACAAGGCGTCTATCCCGTGTATTCTCTTCCAAGACCTACAGAAGAGAGAGAAATCAACAGCTGTATACAACAGAACCTACATAAATGTTATCTAACAAAACAAGCCAAACCTCTACTATCTGCATGACGTCGTGATTGGCAGCCAAATCTTCTGAGCCGACCACTACCTAAAAAACAGAAAACAACTTAGAAATACGGCCATATTACCGATTACATAGCAATGAGCCAATGATATCAATATGTTCTTACCTTTATAGGGTTTGGATCCATAAATTCCTGGGCCAGTTGATGAACCTCCATAGGCCAAGTAGCACTAAACATCACCATTTGCCGAGCTAAAAGCAAAATAATTTTAAGAAGATAAGACAATCACAATTCGTAAAATAATCAAGACCACTTCAATCAATAAAGTAATTCAAATTCAACTATGACAAAGAGGTAGGAGGACTAAAGAAACTTCAAGGACTGCCCATCCAATCTCTAATTATCAAGTCAGCTATGAAAATGTTAAAGCCTATAAAAGAACATATAAATTTCATGGGTTAAATAAACCACAAGAAAGAACAAATAGATGGTAAGAAAGAAAGATCCTTACATCGAAGGAAGATAGGTCAAAGTTTAGACCAGATTAAAAAGTTAATTATAAAATAAAAGATAAAAAGTTAATTAAAAAAAAAAAGAAAGAAAAAGCCCATTTCAATTTCAAGTCAATGATCACATATAAGCAAAATATTAATTTACAATAGTGCCAGCAGAGTCATTACTAAATGCTGCTTATTTTGTCAAGGACTCTAATCATAGTCATTGATCTTCTTACCCTGTGCTTTCCCCAACCAAACTTAGAACTCTGTTGACAAAAAGAATGAAGGAAAAACAAAAAGAAAAATGCATAGTAAGTTACTTCAATACCCAATTTTACATTTCTACAAATTCTGTTCTAGACATGTAAAGTCGAATGATACATCCAAATTTATGAAATCAGAAGCAAATTGCTATACACTGAATTATTAATACCTATAAACAAAAAGACATGTTTGGTTCTAATAAACTAGATGCTTCTATTTTTCTCTAATTCTATTTTCCATCATATTTGCAGGGTTCTAGAAAAAGAATATGGACTTGTCAACAAGAAGCATAGAGTTTTAGGCATAGAAGAAATCATAACATACCAGAGTTTGTTTTGCTCAATATAGAACGGACATCTTGTTCAAACCCCATGTCAAGCATACGATCCGCTTCATCCAAAACCTGCAGAGAAGGCATAAATCAAGCAGTAATTAAGATTAGAACTACAAGAATCTACCACAACATATTATTTTGAAATGGAGGGGTATTTAGTTAAGCACTTAAGCCTTCTAGTTGCCAAGATGGCACACAGGAAGCATGCACTAATGGAGCCTAATTCAGAATACAATATTGGAGCTGAATGTAAGAAGGGAAATATGCAGTACAAGACGCATACTAAACAGGCAAAGCAAACACACATTTTCTTCTACCGCTATTACAAGAAACGATCCATCATGGTTAAAGTAACTATAATATGTAAATAACACCTCGCAAAATTCACTAAAGCCAAAAAGAAATCTCAGATGGCATACATGTAAGTACGTAACTAAAAAACTAAAACTTTGGTCTGACAAGCTCAACATATGGCATTTTAGGATCTCCTAGACTAAAACTCTTAAGCACCATAATTTTTAATACTTCCTCCGTTTCTTTTTAGTTGCATCACTTTCCTAAAACGGAAGTTTCAAATTAGTTGCATCACTTTCCTTTTTAGTTAATAAACTCTCTCTATCTCTCTCCTATCACATGGGTCTATCTTTTTATTCTCTCTATCTATCTCATCTCCAAAAATTACCTAGGAGTCCGCAATTTGCAAAGTGATTTCAACTAAAAAAAAGGGAGAAAGTATCAAAAAAGAGAGAGAAGTACAAATTATTGTTAAATGGCATCAGCAAAACTATTTGAAATCTGGGAAGTTTTTATTAACAAAAAGTCCGCAATGCTTCTATTCTGTCGTATTCCATGATAAAGATCAAGGGGCTTATAATTTATGTCTTAGAAGAATCAATCTAACATAAAGGACACACAAAGCATGCTAAAAGAAAAGTTAAGGTACTGATGTTGAGAAACTTATTAACATTAACAAGAAAATTTTAAGCTGAGGAAGAGGATGTCAAATTAATTCAATTAAATATCTCCATTGGTTTCCTCTCTTTCTCAATCCAAAACAACCTCTGAAGACAGGACACAAAACAATGACAAGTGTTTCAGGCATCAACTTCAAATACTACACTGTTTTTCCAAACCACAAAGAATTTTCAATCAGTAGAACACTATTTTATTATAACAATCAACACTACTCAAGAGTAACTATTTGTATCACTTATTGTGCTCTCGGCCATAACAGAGCTGGATCAAAGCTCTGAGGCTCAACAAAGCAAAGGAAGAGTAGTCTTGGTTGGAAGATGAATCAAACTAATACTCAGCCGGTCAGCCCTATAGTGATCTTCTGCTTCCTAAATTGTTGCGGGAAAATGAGCATGATTCTAGGAGGTAGCATTAAGAAGATATGTCTGCTTGTGAATAATGATGACTACCTGTGAGGCTAGGCTGCAACCCTCATATGCCAGAATACATGAAAAGAAAAAGGTGAAAAAGAAGGAGAGGAGGGGAGGGGGGTGTTACACTTGACAAGAAATTATTTGTACTTCAATTCATGCTTACCACAAATGATACATCTTGCAGACGGCATGCACCCATTTCAATCAAATCCTTCAAACGCCCTGGAGTCCCAATGGCTATGTCCTGAAGTCACAAAAAATTAAGGATGTTCATTAAAAGGAAATCCTTATATATACTCAAGATTCTTAAGAGATGCTGAGAGCTACACAAACAGATAGAGACAGCCCTAAGGCAAGATAATAGACATGAAAGAAGATATAGAGGATAAATTAAAAGATCTAATGTTTTCTTATTATGGATAAGAAGAGCACAATGATGTTGACTCGAGTAACGAAAGAAAAGCAATAGCAAGGAATGCAGGCAAGTAGCAACAACTTGACTCCAACACTAGAAAATAAACAGTGATTGAAGTGTGACAGGCCAATGGTACTTTCCCCATAAAAATAGCTCTATATGGTTCTTTGCACTTAAGTAAAACCTGTGTGGTATAGTGGTATATCCAACAGTCTGAGACAGTTTAGTCTTACAGCTTCAGAAGCAGCCGGTCCACATATAAAAATCAAATATTAAAATTTTGAAACAGAAAGTAAGAGGAGTCACCATAAAATAACAATTCAAGTCCAAGCTTTCAAGAAAGTTATGCTAATCATCTTCAGCCCCTTGCCTCATTTGTTCCAATTATTTTTTTTTTTTTAAAAATTGTTCATTTCTATTCATCTAGTTAGCACCCAAAGGAAAGTAGGTAAAGCAGTGAGTATTAAGTAACAAACTTACAATACCAGACTTCAGAGCAGATAATTGAGGTCCTTTTGAGGTTCCTCCATAAAAGCAAGCAGTTTTTATGCCACAAGACTTCCCAGCATCGCAAAGGACATCCGCAATCTACCAACACAAGACACAAGTACATAAACCCTCAATATACAATTCCTTGCTCAAAAACACACTACACTAAACCAAATGAAGAATACATACTTGTTGTGCAAGCTCTCTTGTAGGTGACAAAAAAAGGCAAAGTGGGTTCACCCTTCTAGACTTCTCATCTTTTCTTTTGCCCAGAACATGCATAATTGCTGGAATTCCAAATGCCAAGGTCTTACCTGATCACAACAACATTAAAATCAAAATTCATTACAAACCGATCCGAATCCTCAAATAAGATTGCCTCACACAAACTTACACTAGTTTACTATGAAAAGTTAGGATTTCACATATCACAAATCAAACATTCTCATGCCATACATTACCTATTTACCTACACACTAATTACTAAAGATACCAAACTACATATAAAATCAAACGCACCAATTCAAAATCCAATAGAACAACATATACCTGACCCAGTTTGAGCAATCCCAATAAAATCGCGGTTATCCAAAAGGAAAGGCCAAGCATGAGCTTGAATTGGAGAAGGTTTAGCAAAACCTTTGCAGCATTCAAGCACATTATCAGGAAGCTTTGAATCAGCAAATGAACTCAAAGGTGCATACTTCGAATCACCCGAATTCTTCCCAGAAACCACCACACCACCATAGCTCTTCCTCTCTTCTTCACCCACTTCACCATCTCTCTTCTCCTCTTTCTTCTTCTTCTTCTTCCCACTTTCCCCATTAATCCCTTCACTCAATTCGGACCCGTTTTCCAACTGGGTATTTTCCTCTTCCTTCCCATTTTTCTTCTCCTTCTTTTTCTTCTTCTTTTCAGACTTTTTAGAAGCTGAAATTTCTGGGGTTTCTATCACTTCGCCATTAATTTGAGCGTCTTCTTCTCCTTCAAGCTTTCTCTTTCGCTTGATTTTTCGATCTTCCTCACCGCCTGAACTCGTGAGATCCTTGATTTTTTTACCCATGTTAGAGAATTGATGAGGATGATTCAGGCGAAATGGAAAGAGAAGGAGGCAGAGTTTAGGGTTTAAGAGGGGGATATCGTATTTGGGGGGCGACTACGCTTTCAGTTTTCGTCCAAAAGAACGTTTCTGTTAGGTTTCGGCAGTTAAATGCTTCGCAAATATTTCCGCGAGATTTTTATTTTTTTATTTTTATTTTTTTCCTTTTTTTTTTTTTTGACCTCCAATAGTAAATTGAATTTTTTTTATTTTTTAATAAACCTTTAAAAGCAAAAATCGGACAATTCTAACCACTCAAATGGTCTCTAGGGTGTGGGTGGGTCAATTGGGAGCACCCAAAATCTCATTTCTTTTCGAGTTCGACAACGTTAAAAAATATATCCAAAAAATGAAGACAATCATCATAACATATGAAATGATACTAATTTCAAAGGTCGGGATTGTAGGAGATGCAATTTGGGATCATATAAAGTTGTTTTGAGACCATTACAACATAAAGACTCGTGTTGGACTTGAGTCAATGAAAGGAGGCGTACGCGTAAACGACTAAATTGACATTTTAAAATCATAGCAGACGATTCCAACCACCCAAATGGTCTCTCAAGATGTCCTAGGGTCCATGGGAAGCACCCCAACCTGTTTTCTTTTCGAGATCAAAAGAGTCAATTTTTTCCAAAAAGTAAAGGTTATAATACATGAAATGAGACCAATTTCGAAGCTTTCAGGACCTAGGGTTGCAAACTCTCGGGAGGGTAGGAGATGCATCTCGAGGTCATATAATGTTGTTTGGAACCATATACAACCATTATTCATCAACAAAAAGGCTCATGCTGATCTTGAGTTGATGAAAGGAGGCGCATATGTAAACAACAAAATTTACAATATAAAGTCAACTTGGACTATTTCAATCACTCAAATGGACTCTTGAGGTTTCATGAGGTTTGTGGGAAGCACCCTAATCTCTTTTCTTTATGAATCCAGCAAAGTAAAAATTATCCAAAAAAATAAAGGCTATAATTTACAAATCAGACCAATTCAGAGGTTTGAAAACCTAGTGTCAAAGACTAGGCTTGTGACAGCCTTGAGACAATGAAAGGAGGCGTATGCGTAAATGACATAATTGAAAGTATAAAGTCAATGTGGATGGTTCCAACCACCCAAATGGCCTCTTCACACTTTTTTTATTTGGTGAAGGAGAGGAGCAAGCCCCAAGACCCCAAATGGCCTCTTCATTTGTCTTGGGATCCACGGGGAGCACCCTTTCCTCTTTTATTTCCGGGTTCGGAAAAGTAAAAATGTCCAAAACAAAAGATATAATAAGGGATATGGACTTCATTTAAGATTTTTATGGTCAAAGTATTATATTGAAAAATATGCATAGTCAAAAGATGAAAACATTTAGAAACATAGGGAGTACTTACTCTGTACTATTATAATTTATTAGTGGTGTTTTTGTTAACACCAATGAATCAATATTTGGCTGTTTACAATTGTTCATTCATAATTGATGGAATGAATGAACGAGTGAATGAATCCTTTTTATCTCAAGGTGGAAGATTATCTATGTGAGACTATGAGGTACCTTATTATCAGCTCCATCATTGAGCTTTTCTCCAGAAATATGATGTCGAGCAGAAAATCATCAAGCCCTCAGAGATTAACAGAACAATGAAAAGTAAACGGTAAAAAAAACTCAATTTAATCACAGCACTTCGAAACATCTAGTGCACAGCGACAAGGCCAACAACATCATGAAATAGTCATAACTGATTTAACATCAGCTACAAGCCTAGAGTGACAAGAAATCGTACAAGATTAACTATAGGAATCACAATAAGAAACTTTAAAGATGAATTTATAAAATGAATAAGGGATATGGACTGCCCTTAACATTTTTACAAGGTATGCACAAACTAAAACTAAGGTTTTGTCTACTAGAATAACACTCAGACCCAAGAAAAAATTATGAACTCTTTGCAGGGTTGGAAGGGTACGGAAGGTTATACAAACCAAATGAAGCGCTTGTATGCTTGGAGAATTCTACTTGTGCCCCCTGAAATACATGTAAATTTTCTGCAGAATAGCAAACACAACGGATTAGAAATTTCATTTATAGCAAACCCCTTTTACACAGTGGATTAGAAATTTCATATATAGATAAGCACTTCGTTTGACGTTTGATTCTATCTTATATTATTTCATTCACCTTTTACTTACACCCACAACCACTCATCCTTTTCAAACTCTTATAGAACAAGAGTGAACAAAATATAACTTGGTAAGAAAGGGAGGGAGTACAAAATTGAGATGTCCTTCCTAGTGTTGGCACACAATAGTGATGGACAAATTCACAAATATATGAAAGTGATATCATTCTAACCTGAAGAACCCACAAGCTCAGGAGTGATTCCAGGCAAAAAAACCCAAACCCAACTAGGTAAAAAACCTGCATAGAGTGCATACGCAAACAAAGTCAGGAGTTTTGATTTCTAAAAATACAAGGATAAAGCATGAAGGATGAAAAAAAAAAAAAAAAACATGAGCTGAATGGAGATAATAAACTCTCAAGAAACATATTGCACACATTAAAGTTCCATCACTTACTGTGCTAGACCAGAAAATAACTGGATCCAAATTAAAACTATAAACTCGATGTCAAAAAAATTAGATTTACAAATCGATTACCATATTATACAACAGGAATGATAATGTTCAGGTTATGGAAAACTGATAATTGGAAAACTTGACACTGAATTCGCTACTCCATAATTCAGAAAAACATATTGCAGAACTACACCTATGACTAAATGACATTTCTAATCAAATTCACTGATCAAACTATAAACAAGACATATTTTCCCATTGATGTGATGTAATGTGTTATTGGTTGACTTCAGAAATACTGAAAAATAATTTCCTGGCCAAGACATGACATTAATATCTAACGAACTTACCCCAACAAGAACACTGTGAGGAAATACATCAATTGCTGCAAGAATGCCCCTGGATATTCAGAAATTTAGGTGTAAATAAGAGTTAGTAGCAAGATATAAATTAATAAGTAAACCACATACATATAAGAATAATTATCAGAAATGATATTGACATATATATTATCCAAAAACTACGCCATGTGGACCTTCTACCAGGGTAATGACATATCATTGACAGGTGCCTTACCATGACTTTGGCACAAGTTGTCCTAAAACAGAAATAAGTGATGCGAAGATTGCCAACAACCAAATTAACAAGACTGCAAATCTGACAGCAATATGATGGCATAATAGATGCAGATGAAGATGTAGGATGAGTTCAATATGACCAGGTATACTTTACGATTTACCATGCATGTAAAATGAGTTACAAACATGACCAAGAAAAATTAATAAATTGTGACTCTTATCTAGTGAGCATTTGCCGGCTTATCATCTACAAATTCCCTTCATACATAATTATTTGAAACAAAACTAACAGCCTAGAGAGGAGGGAGGGGGGGGGGGGGGTTAAAAAACTAAATCAAAATACTTTGGAGATTTTTTACTACGAGTAATCATTTATTATTTATGTATTTCAATAAAAGAGAAACCTCCAAAACATAATTTAGAAATCACCGTCAGAGTCCCACAACTCAATGTCTTAACAGAAACTCCTCGTGTTTGTTGACCAAATTTCATGAGTATCTTTCACTCATTCAGCATCACCAACAGATACTGAAAGATTACTACTCTATACTGTAATTTATGTTCTTATCTATGCAGAAAAAGCAGAGTATTAATTTCACCTCTGAAAAAGCAACAATAATAATTTTGGGCCTTTTGGCACCATTTAAATAATAGTTCCAAATTTTGTTTAAGCTTTCAAAATGTTTTTGTATAACCACATACTCACAGTTCACATCACCACCAACAGTCATCATGACTATAATTAAAAAAAATATTCCTCCGGTTTTTCTTTCTATGATGAACCTCGGTGAATTTGTAAAAACGGATGACACCCAGCATAAATCAAAGCTCATATTATCTCAAAAGATAGATTGGCTGAGATAGTGTCAATGTGAAACGGGAACGAGAAACTTACGTAAGAGACTGCCCATGAAAAACAATTGGAGGAGCAATTGCAGCAAACACACAAAAAAGAATATGGATCTGCATGAGGATAATAATATTTAATCAGGACACAGAAAGATGAGAAAAGAGGGTAAGATATTACACCAGATGCCCCCCCCCCCCGGCAACACACACACACTCACACACACACAGACACACTCACACACACTCACACACACTCACACACACACACACCAAAAAAAAAGAGGTATTACAGATATATTGAGTGTAAACTCACCAGGTAGAGCAAGAAAAACCAGCCGAACTTGAAGGCACTATCTGTCCTGAAAGAGAAAAACAAGGCAATTAACATCAATGTTAAATATCTCCTTCAGCGCCAAATCATTGAGGAGAGGGAAGAGACAAGGCACATTCAACTACCTCATCGCACGATAAAGTGGTCGATACCACAGCACATATGACAGTGGAACACCCAATAAAGCATATATTGATGCAAGGAAAAAAATTTTGGCACCTGGAATACAAAATGGGATCAGATTTTTGTATGAAACAACATAGCAGCAGACTGTTAATTCGGAAAATGGAACAAAGTGCTTACCTCCTCCCTTGATCCAACAGACAATGATTGCAACTATGTTGTATGTGAGACAAAGAACTATACCTGTTTAGATAAAAAAAAACGAAGTTGAGCTATTAGACCAAGAAAGAGGTCATTGACTTCAATCAACAAAAACCAACATAAAAAAAGGTCAAACATTAAAATTAAAAATATGACATGCTTAAGACCCTGTTTTCAAAGAAAGTAACATGAAGCAAGAACTACAAGTGATACTATAATATTTACTCAACTTCCTTCATTTCCATTTAAAAGCAAAGATCAACATGCCATGCAATGTTATATGTTACAACGATGCTTAGAATCTAATGATTAAAATACGTCCAGAAATTAAACTTTGAGCAAATCTAGATAAGAGACATGATGTAATTGAATTTTAGAAATGTCCAGCTACACTGCAATGGAATTTTTCATAACTTCACAAGATGAACTGCCTAGCTTAATTTAACAATAAATTTTTTGCAGGTACGTGATAATATTCCATGGTTTCACCAACATAAAGTCATTTCCCATGTGAATAAAAAACATTAATATCAAAGCAACAAAAGTAATATAATGACTTCTATCCCATGGCTCAATACATTCATCTCGTAATTGAACCTCAACAGAGAACTTTGAAGGAGAAAAACTCTTACCTAGCCAACTTGCAAATGCCATATACTGCAACTTCTGAGCATGAACAGGAATTTCATTGGCAATATCATGGTGTATGATTGGGAAGAAAGGTGGCCAATTCCTATCATCTTCAACAACACCAGCTGCATTAAAAAAACTGGTTAGTAAGCAATTAGCAATGTACTGGAAAAGAACATATGAACAAACAATTAATTAGAGCATCATTGAGAATAACAGTCATGGCCAAAGTCCCAAAAAGGGAAAATTAAGCATTTGATATCAAGCTCCAATTCACCGAACCTCCGGCAACAGCATCTTCTCTCCGCTTTATGTCCTGCGACAGGAAAGTTGAAAATGATTCAAAAAATAATAATAAAAATAAAATAAAGACCTAAGATGAGAAAATCAATATTGATCCATTAAGATAGAATCATAGTTTACAGTATCAAGTATCAACTATAACAGTTTAAAAGTAATTAGGAATCATTCCATCTCCACTTAGATAATGGTAAAACTAACCAGCTCTCTTCTTCTGAGATCTGCCTCCCAATCAGAAAGTTCTTTCTGTTTGTTAGGATCCTGCATAAAATCATAAATAAATACCTTTGACAACCTTTTAAGCATAATGCAAAAGCAAGCAATTAAGTGTTAAAGTTTTCATACATTCCTGGTCTCCAATGGTACATCATCAGTGGCATCATGCTTCTGACCAAAACCAAAGTTAGGGAGGCGAAACTTTGAGCCAGTATCACCTGAACCATTCTGTGAAATATGACACAAGCATTAGCAACGAGGGGAAAACGTCATCACTAACAAAGAAAGTAAAACTTCAAAGTCAAAGGAACTTAAATTCGGACATGCACAAAACAGGAAAAATAAGGTAACAGATCAGCTTTGCCAGTGCAGTCTATGTTCCAATTGCCCTTAGAAATACACTGTAACACATAGCATTCAGTAACAAGGTAACAAAATTTCTATCCCTTTGAAAAACTTAATAAGTTCATTAATGACAACACTCACTGTGCCTCATCTTTGAACATGAAAAATTCTGGCCAAAACAAGAACACCACATGTATTGTATTAACAATACTCTAAATCAAGATTTGTGAAAACTTAGTCAAATACACAAGCCCCATCCATACAAAATCATTAAACACTAACACTATGTACATAATATTTAGGATTATTTCTTCAGTTCAGAATTACTTTGAAGTTCAAATTCTCTTGAACAAAATATATACACAATAACTCCAAGCTTGAGCGCTTTATGTTTATTGCAAAATTTGAGCATTCAAAGTACAGTCATGGAAATTGACTTGCATTATATCTAGAGGGACTCTCCTGAGTAAGAAAGTTAACTACCTTTAAGTAACTTAGCAATCAATAAAAATAGCACTAGGAGAATATAAAGTAGGTCCAAATCTTAATTTCTATAGCATATGGTTATTTAAGAAATTGATGGCAAAAGGCAAAACCACCACTCCACTCTCATGAACTATGAGTGAAATGAGCATAGTTGATAGTCAATATTCAATACTTCCAAAATCACAGTTGATAAGAAACATTTATGATGTTACCGAAAAAAAGAATTCTGACAAGTAATGCTTAATGGTGTGAGCTGCTACCATTCTACCAATTCAGAGGACTCTACAAAATTTTCCATCAAAAAGACTTGTGGTTTCTTACTTTCAATTTTGCAATCTTCGGTAAACGTATTTTGAACCTAGAACATCCTGTGTAATATAGGTCCCCTATATTTCAAAATATATGTCACGAACTCACGATTTGCCAACCCCAAAACATTTTGGGAATAAGGCTTTCGTGTTGTTGTATAATTGTATATATGTCACAATTTCATTAAGCCATACCTACAAGGCTACAACAATGTCATTCTTAATATTTCCATACTACCTTTGATCCTTTTTCCCTAACTTTGCCACACAGCCTATACTGTATAGAATGTCTAGGACTCTACACTATAACTCCCTCCTCTAAGATAGGTAATATTTGATTTTTAGACGTCAAACCTTTCCAACTTTGATGATTAATACGGAATACTATCTATTATTATCTAATACATGTACTAAAATTGTAATTTTGCGCAAACATTTCATAAACTAAATGTAAAAAATGCTAAATTTTTTACCCATAAATGACCAATCCTAGGGTTCTTTTACAACTAAACTCGAACGCAACCAGCTAATTTCGGACAAAAGTAGCATATATTTCATTAGATTACGTCCTGAAATCTTTAAAGTGTTGCGTTCATTTTAGGAAGATTATAGGTGGCAATCAACCTTCTTCCTAAGATTAGCTTGTCGGTGATCACAAATTCCGGAAATAATAAACAACATTAACAAAAACAAATCAAAATTGAAACTGAAACGAACTCAGTACATTTTAAATATAAAGCTGAATTCTGAAATGCGCACAAATTTTAAAATAGGGTTTCAGATCCAGATCAAACAATAGCAACCAAAATCAAGCACAGTTACCAAACCGACATAATCAAATAAAAACCAACATTATTCATACAAATTATAACGACAAAACAATGAAATTAAATGCGAAAAAAATGGAGAAACAGATCTAAATATAGAGAATTTAGCAGAAAAAACAAATTTTAAAAAAAACGAGAGAATTTAGGGAAAAATTACAGCGAATGGATTGACGTTTTCCGGTTGAGAACTCATTGATAAGTTGATAATTTGATTGAAATTGAAGCGAAAAAGATTGGAAGGAATAGAGAGTTTGAAAATGGAAAATGCACCAAATTATGAGAGTGAAGAGAAGAGTGTGAAGAGAGAGAAAATGAGAACGAGGGAAAACACGGAAATAGAAAAATATGTTTAGTGTAGCTGTGTAGACATAAATATCTGTCAAAGCAAATCAGATACGCGGGATGTCGAATAGCATGAATCGGTGCTGGGTTACGAATGTTAGCTTCTCTAGTCAACCACGCTAATTGCGCTATGCCCGGTTGGGCAGTCAAGTCGGTTTGGTTCTGGTCAATAGTTGGTTCAGAGGGACACTAATTGTGCTATGCCTGGTTTGACAATGGAGTCGGTTTGTTTCGAGTCAATAGCTAGTTTAGAGGAGGATTTTTGTTAACCCTCATTAAAATTTGTTCTTCGTAATTTTTTTTTGAGCTATTATTAAATGTGTTAGGAAATAAGGGTGTAATTGTGTTTGATTAATGCGGAACAAGTCAATGAAAAATAAGAACGAGAAAAACAATAAAGAAGATAAACAATGAACACAGGGATTTACGTGGTTCGGTCAAATTAGACCTACATCTATGGGTGGGGGATTCGAGAGCTTCTTCACTATAAAGGAGAAAGAACGAGAGAATAATACAAGGAGTCTTAAATCTAATAGCTTAAAAGGTATGATCTAATTGATCAACTAAAGGGTCCTTTTATAACATAAAGAAACGCTAATTAAACCCTAAAATTGTTCCCCAAATATACTCAAATAGCCATCATAGAAAAGATAAAATTTTAGGAAATTATCCCTAAAATAATTAAGCTAAAACCGGAAATATAAAACTGCCCAACTCGTCTACACACGGATGTGCACCCTTTGGGCACGGACGTGCTATGTTGAGCACTTCGTCAGCATCATTCCAACTTCGTCAGGTCTTCGTAAAACAGCCATAACTTTCTCGTTTCTTACCGGAATTGGGCATATAACCTATCGTTGGAAAGCACTTGAGCTATCACCTCCAACTTGAATCACCTCAAAATCACTTATAGTTTGATAGATATCTGCCTTCAAAGTCAACCCTACTAGATTTCGAGTCACAATTTAACAAATCTCCACCTTGACTTGAAATCGACCAAAAGAAGGTAACTCCACCTTGAACCAAGAAGTAATGCTCATAAAAAAAACATAGAACCTCCACCTTAAACAAAATTCCATAAGCCTACTCACATTAGGCAATCAACAAACAGACATCCTCCATAACTTGTGAACCGGTGCGTCTCTGAACACAAAATTTCGTACACAAAACCATTACATGGCCTAGATTGAGAATATAATGTCACAACGACAAGCATGCTTATCAAAATTAACCAAACTCTCTTCAAACACTTCTTCATCTCAAAACCAACCTAAAAAACTTAGGCAATATTAGAAAAATAAAATTACATCAAGAATTTCTAAATTGCAATTGTACTTAATAAATCACAAAAGTACCAAAATTGAGATAAGAAATAGCATAACTAGATCAAAATCTAATGCATAACCAAGATTGCTACTTTATTACGAACGAAAAATCAAAAGCAATCTATCACAGACTCCATAACCCAAAAAATCCACACGGTTTCTCGTTTCACCAAGAGATCTCAAAGGGGCACTTATCATGAAGAGAACGTAGAAACCGCAACCCCAAAGCTCGTAACCCTAAAGTGCATAATCATAATCATCATCGGTGTTGGCAATATTTGCGGATTTGTCCTCATTAGACTTCTCCTCATTCTTCTTCTTCAATTTCCACTCGGCTTTGGTATTACCTTTCACGTGACAATAGTTACAAACTTTTCCTTTACCAAAATTCTTATTACCACCATGAGCAACTAAAGCATTATTTTGAGCAGGATTATTAGATTTATTAACCAATTTATTGTCAATTAAATATCTCTGGGTTAAGGCATCCTTAACATCCTCCAAACTCAAATCATCTCTACCATACAATAAAGTATCTCAAAAGTGCATATACGAAGGCGGTAAAGAACACAACTACCTAATAGCCATATCCTCATCATCGATCTCAACATCGATGTTTTGCAAATCCATAATAATAGAGAAGAATTCATCTAAATAAGACTTAAGCGGTTAACCTTCTTCTAGACGAAGATCATGAAGTCTAGATTTGAGTAGTAGACGGTTGATCACGCTCTTTGTCATATAAAGTGACTCCAACTTCAACCACAAACCAACAGAAGTCGTCTCCTTGGCAACCTCTCTCAAAACATCATCAGAGAGACATAATTGAATTGCCGAAAGAGCCTTCAAATCGATCTCCTCCCACGTATCCTTTGTCATGCCTGATGGCTTTTTGGATACACCTTTAAGAGCCTTGTGACAGCCACTTTGAACCAAGATGGCTTTCATCTTCAATTGCCATAGGCCAAAATTCACTTGCCTATCGAATTTCTCAATGTCAAATTTCATTGGCATAATTTAATCAAACAAATCTATAAACACCTAAAACCTAAGACCTTATAATCTGCCTCTAGATACCAATTTGTTAGGAAATAAGGATGTAATTGTGTTTAATTAATGCGGAACAAGTCAATAAAAAATAAGAACGAGAAAAACAATAAAGAAGGTAAACAATGAACTCAAGGATTTACGTGGTTCGGTCAAATTAGACCCACATCCACGGGTGGGGGATTCGAGAGCTTCTACACTATAATGGAGAAAGAACGAGAGAATAATACAAGGAGTCCTAAATATAATGGCTCAAAAGGTATGATCTAATTGATCAACTAAAGGGTCCTTTTATAACATAAGGAAACCCTAATTAATTAAACCCTAAAATTGTTCCCCAAGTATACTCAAATAGCCGTCATAGAAAAGATAAAATTTTAAGAAATTATCCTTGATATAATTAAGCTAAAACCGGACCCAAAAAACCGCCCAACTCGTCCACACACGGGCGTGCATCCTTTGGGCACGAACATGCTATGTCGAGCACTTCGTCATCAGCATCATTCCAGCTTCGTCAGGTCTTCGTAAAATGGCCATAACTTTCTCGTTTCTTATCGGAATTGGGCATATGACCTATCGTTGGAAAGATCTTGAACCAAGCTATCACCTCCAACTTGAATCACCTAAAAATCACTTATATTTTGATAGATATATGCATTCAAATTCAGCCCTACTAGATTTCGAGTCACAATTTAACAAAGTGTATACAAAATCTTGTATCTCTTCAATTAGAAGTTTAAGGTACAAGCCTTTACCCTCTATATTTTTTGGTTCAAGAAATGCATCTGAGCCAATTAAACTTCTTGTTGCAGCTAGGGGTGTTAGTGAGGCAAATTGACCCCGAGCCTCTTTAGGCTAACTTGAGCTCGAAGCTTGTCGACCTTGAAAATTTTGGTTGGCTCATCAACACCCTTGATTGCAATTTGTTGATTTATATTACGTTGGGTCAACAGTTTATTTTATACACTTTAATAATTGGAAAATTAACCGGGGTGGCGAGGTGGGTGTTTATCCCCTCACCCCCAATTTTCATACCCATCCAAAAATTTTATAAGCATCATGTATTGAAGGTACATAGACTACATTTGCTTTATCCAGTGATTCACTAGCAACTTATATCTAACTAATAATTTGCGGACGTGCCTATATAGTAACACCACAGGTCATTATGAGCCCACTAGTAGATATTGTTCTCAATGAGCCTTAGCTCGCAAGGATTTCTTTTTTATTCAGAATCGAAGTCCTACCTAAAAGTCCTCTATTAAGTTGAGATATCAACCCCCATATAAAACGTGTTTGAATGGGTAAAATATTACAGGAGACAGGGGTTGTGGAAACGTATTTGAGAGGGTAAAATTGATTTATATAAAACCAAGGGAATTTAGGGGTTAGGGAAATGTATTTGAGGGGATAAAGTTGATTTTTATAGAACGTTTTTGAGGGGTAAAGTACTATAAAAGACAGGGGTTGTGGAAACGTATTTGAGGGGATAAAGTTGATTTCTATAAAGCCAGGGACTTTAGGGGTTAGGTAAATGTATTTGAGTGGGTAAAGTTGATTTTTATAGAACGTCTTTGAGGGGGTTAAGTACTATAAAAGACATGGGTTGTGGAAACGTATTTGAGGGGATAAAGTTGATTTCTATAAAGGCAGGGGATCTTAGGGGTTAGTAAATTGTATTTGGGGGGGGGGAAGTTGATTTTTATAGAACGTTTTCGAAGGGGTAAAGTACTATAGGAGACAGGGGTTGTGGAAACGTATTTGAGGGGGTAAAGTTGTTTTTATAAAACGTCTTTGAGGGGGTAAAAAACTATAGAAGACAGGAGTTGTGGAAACGTATCTGCGGGGTAAAGTTGATTTCTATAAAGTCAGAGGACTTAAGGGGTTAGGGAAATGTAGAGATGATCAACTATGCCCCGATCCGCAAGCACGACCCGATCCGCCCCGCCAGAGGACTCAAGGGGTTAGGAAAAACGAGGGGGTTTGGGCAAGCCAAAAATCACAATTTTAGTTTAAAAAGTCCGATCAGGCCCGAAAAGCCCGTTAAAGGCCCGACAAACCCGACATTTTTTAACAGGTTTGGGCTTGAGTTTTCTTAGTAAAGCCCGACCCGACTCGAATTTTGATCACCTCTAGAGAAATGTGTTCGAGGGGGTAAAGTTTATTTTTTTTAAGTGACATAAGATTTGATCCAAATTCAATTACAATACCCAATTGACGGAACTAAAAATCAAGTGTGATCTTAATGGTTCGACCCCAAAATCATTAACATTTCATGGTTTGAACCTTTGGGTTGGGTTTGTAACAAAGGAAAGCCGCAAATCACACACACTTCCCAAATCACACAGCCGCAAAACCCTTCGACCCTAAAACCCTCCCTCCATTTCTTCCCCCCTGCAATCCTCAAATCACTCGAGTTTCTGCACTCATTGCTAACAATATGTCTTCATTTCAATCATAACCTCCAAATTAAAAAAACCCTAAATCACAAAACCCCCATTTTCTTCATCTTGTTGATTGAGGTTTTGAGTAATTTCTACCATGTCTGCCGCATCTAGAGGCTTAATTTCTCGGCTGAAAACGGTGTTAATCCCACAAAGAACACTAACCCAGTTCAGAAATTTTAGTTCTGAGATTCTAACACCTCAAAATGAAGTTATTCGACCCAGAATCATTGAACCAAAACCTGGTGTTATGACCAAACAATCTAAAAGAACTGGGGCAATTGCTATTAAATGTGGGATGACTGCGCTTTGGGATAAATGGGGTGCTCGTGTTCCCATTTCTGTTCTTTGGTTTGATGATAATATTGTTTCCCAAGTTAAAACTGTTGAGAAAGAAGGCTTCTTTGCTCTACAGGTACTGTTTCATGCTTACTACTTTTTTGTTATTATTTTTTCATGTTTAGATCTCATTTTTGGTAGATTTGTTGAAGTGGGTGTGTTTGATTTGCTTGTAATTGTGCTTTTATTTGATTGGGTTTTGCATTGAAGATGGAATGTTGAGATGTTTTTGGTAGGTTGTTGAGAATGGTGAAATGTAAGAAATTAGGATTGAAGGGTTTCATTGTTTGAAATGTAGTTGTTTGGGGATGATTAAAATGTGATGCTAGGTAGGTTGCTTAATGCTGTGCATTTATCTGATTGAGTTAGATGTCGAAGTTTTAAAGTGCTTTCTTAATTGCCCATTTCTCTTTTAAAATTGGGGTTATCTGTTAGTTGGTGCTACATATTTGTAAATGTTTCAATGTCAAGATGTCTGAGACTTTACAATTTTAGGTTGAGGGGTTTCATTATTTGCAATGTAATTGTTTGGGTATGATTTGAATGTGGTGATAGTTAAGTTGGTTGCTTAAGGCTGTGCATTTATCTGGCTGAGTTTGATTTCGAAGTGGATTCTTAAATCTTAATTGCCCCTATCTTTTCTTTTTTTTTTTTTTGGTTGATTTTATATTTTAGTAGGGATTTGTAATTGTTGCAAAGTTAAGATGTTGAAGATTTTTGTTGTCTGCGAAGTTAATTGTTTGGGGATCTCTTTGGATGTGGTGTTAGTTAGGTTGGTTGCTCGCATAAGAAGGAGAAACATTTGACAAAACCTGAAGTGGGTCACTTTAGAGCACAAGGGGTTCCTATGATGAGGAAGTTGAAGGAGTTTCCAGTGACAGAAGATGCACTTCTTCCTGTTGGTACGTCAATTAATGTACGACATTTTGTTCCTGGACAATACGTGGATATCACTGGGATCACAAAAGGGAAGGGATTTCAGGTGAATTTCTTTATCTGATGGTGTTATATCCATTCAAATATTTGTTATATAGATGTATTCTGTAAACTATCCTGAGTACTACTTTGTTTGAAAATAGAGAAACTATTCCTAATAAACTAGAAGGGTAGGAAAAAGGGGAAAGCCAGTTGAAGGAGGCGTGCAAGGCAATGCTACAACTTGAATTTATCTGTGCTGTATTGGATTCCATGCTGATGATACTAGAACTCTGTTCATCTAGCCTCTCCACCTTGTCATACTTGTCCTTTGCATAGTTTCTTCCTCTTAATGGTGAAAAAGTATTGACTGATTGCATTGTTGGCAGATTCAGCGGTGTAAATTTTCGAGTACCTTTGGCTACTTTATCTACATTGTTCCTACTAGGCTCCTAGCATGCACTTGACGAAGAGCTTTCACCTTTTTCTCCCAGTAATTTTTACTTGGACTATATTTAGTGAGGTGTGTTAGTATATCACCATAAAAATGAATGTTTGTGGGTCATTTGTAGGTAAATAAATGAGATATGGGCTTAGGTCAGGGTTTTTGAGTACAATGCACCACTAATCTAAGAACAAACTAAAAAAATAACAAACTGAAAATATCAACCCCATGTTAGGATTAATGAAGCAAAGTGTAGATGCTTAGGTTATTGAATGAGATTGATTCACAAAAAGAGTCTTGATGTTAAGTTTTAAAGAGGAGATATCTCAGTTTCTCACTCCAGTTCTATTTTTGAACATATTCTACTGAAGTTCTTAAGATAGGCACACACTTTATTTATTAACGGAACTAAACTCTAATGACCACTTAATCTTGGCCCTTGGTGTACAAATTGAAATGATTCACTAGCGAGTTTTGACACGAAGTTAAGAAGAGGAGCCACAGTCAGTTTCTGTTTATCGACATAAGCTAATGAAAGTTCTTAAAATAGTAGATACATATATATAAGGAGACTACATTACAATAACTAAATCCTAGTGACCCCTTTAATAATTTGTTGTTGATTTACAAATTGGATGGCTTGTTTGTTTACAAAACAAATGGACTGTAGAGTTCAATCTTGAAATTCTCGTACTGTTCAGGCCTGATCTCATGACTGCCAGAGTGCCAGACACAAGCAGCTTGTGTTAATAATTGCAGCAGCATCAGCCTTCATGGCTGTGAGCTTGTTCAGCTCCCTCAGATCAACTTCTTCAATATTTGTCTCTTTTTTCTTTTTTTTTTTTTTTTGGGGTAAATGATCATGCGTTGTAGAACGTTGAACTCTAATTTCATCTCAAGTAGTTTTATTTTCAAAAGATTTGTAGACTAATTATAGCTCATCTCTATGCCTCTCAGTAGTTGAACCTTGTAGTCTTGTATGAACAATCTAATTTTCACAAATCTTATAGTCTTATGTACACTGTACGATTCTTATGCTTCCGTTTGTCCTCTAAATCATAACCTTGCCTTCAAATACATCATGGACTATTCCACACCTTTATATTCTCAATTAGACCGCTAAAGAAACTAGAATATCGTTAATAATTATAATTCACCCAAATAACTTCGTTGGAACCTGGATCGTCATTAAATTGAATGTAAGGGATTCTCTGTCTGACTTATCCTTGTAATTAGATTAAGGAAATGATTATCTTATGTTATGGAGTTGTTATGCTGTTCTCTATTTGAGCTGATATCCTATGGGATTAAATGTATTTATCTTATTAAAACCATGCTTAGCTATAGTTTTGCTTAGTTGTAGTTTTTAGATGCACATGGACACTGAAACATAGCAAGGGTTATGTCAAAGGCTGACATGTGTTAAGTTGTTGCCAAAATAACTCTGTTTGCTGACCTACTTACTTCATGTGTACAGGGTGTAATGAAAAGGCATCATTTTCCGGGGTTGCCAGCATCACATGGTGTGTCAAAGGCCCATCGGAGTGGTGGTTCCACAGGTCAAAGGGATGCTCCTGGAAAAGTAAGCTCATATGCAAAGCGATGACTGTTTGCCATTGTATTCTGTTGTTTCTTGTTACTGAAATTGATATAGAATATCATTTTCTTTGCTTGCCCTTGGATTTAGCATTGTAGCCTGACCACATTCTTATGAAGTTAATTGGTGTTTAATTTTCCTCTTATCCGTTGCATGTGAAAAATGCCACCTCAGAAGTTTTTCTTGTAAGAGGGAAAATGAGAAGAGGGGGAGGAGTTGTCTTGGGAAGAAAGGGGACCCACCAAACGTATTCTAATTCCCTTCTTCATAAGTTCTATGAATTTTACTATTTCTTTTTCATATGCAATGTTCAAAAGTCTAGCTATAAATCATCCAATAGATTTTTTCCTATACGAACTCTGCACATTGGTGGCTATTGTTCTACACTCTTATGGAGCCATTGGAACTCAGTTGCATACGCATGAATGAAATCCCCTTTTTGCATAGTAGTTCGGCTGTATGCTTTTCCATTATCGGGTAGCCAGATGTTTATCCTCATGTTCACCATAAAGTGATTCAGTTATCTTTACGTGCCTTTTTTGATGACTTAATCATCATTCTGATACTAGAGCAATTTTATACGCTTCTGTTTATCTCCTTACCTTTAATCAAATTTATAGGAGTTAAACTGAGCCTTTACTAGCTTCATTATGAGTGGTGAAGGGACAGATGAAGATTTTGATGCATCAATCATGTTTTTAGGTTGGACAGATGAGTCCTTGAGCTACCCTTGCATTGATGCCTATTCGTGCTGTTGCATGGTTGAATTTGGGGGTAATACTATCGTTTTGGAATCCATCACATTTCCAAATGTAGTAATAAAGTAAAATTAGATTTCCTAATCCTCAAGATGTCACTGCTAAAATCAAGTGATGGGGTTTAGGATTAAAATTGGTTTAATTTATTATAAAGGATCTTTTTGTGACACTATGTCATGTCCGTAATCATATGTGACAGCTAACCTCGGACAGAGGGAGTATATCCAACATTACCTTGAAATTTGAACTATTCTCTCTCTAGGAGCTCTGGCATAGCATGATAGTAACACCTCTGATGTCTCTCTACAGTATTATGGCTGCTGAATGAGATAGTACTTTTGTTTCAGAATCTGTTGCTTTTTTATGTTGTGCTTCAACATTAGTCATTACATAGTTGAATATAGCTTGAAAATTTCTGTACCTTTTTTATGTTATGCAGTTATGCTTCAACGTTAGTCATTGCGTGGTTGACTATAGAGTGATTGTATGCTTTGTGTCCTGGTAGGTTTTCAAAGGCAGAAAGATGGCTGGGCGCATGGGTGGCAAACAGCGGACAGTGAAAAATGTTTGGGTTTATAAAATAGACCCCAAGAGGAACTTAATGTGGGTTAGAGGCCAAGTATGAACCTTTTTAACTATCTTCTTTCTCTTTTGACATTTTTTAAACAGCCAATTTTCTGCTTATTTCATTTTTCAGACATTCCGAACTCTTAATAAACTCAGTCACTAGGAGTATCCAGAACTCTTTTTTTTTTTTTTTTTTTTTTTTTTTTTTTTTTTTTTTTTTTTTTTCTATGAGCTGGCTCTGCTTAACTCTTTGGCTATGTTTGTAGGTCCCTGGTGCTGAAGGAAACTTTGTGTTTGTAAAAGACGCTTTTTATGAGAAACCTGATGTCTCAACGCTTCCTTTCCCAACTTACTTTTCACCAGAAGACGAAGATGAAGATTCATTAGAACCTATAACTGTGGATTTAGGAGAATTAGATCCATTTATGGCAGCTGATTAATTGGCGTGCTAATTCAGAATATCTGTAGAACTCTGGTCTTTCTATGCCTGGGAAATGCCTAGGAGTTTTTTGTTCTTATATATAGAGGGATATGGTCAAGTATGTTTCGAGGTTGGGTTGTGTTTATTTTGATTTGGTGCTGGAGCTAGTGTTCTCCAAACATTACGGTGTTAGCCTCATATTTATTTGGCAGAGCTCGAGACCAGAATGTGACAAGAGTAAACTATGTTATTGTGTAAACTCTGTTCAAATAAACTGTTGAACTACTGAATGTTGAACATTGTAATTCATCATTTAGAGTTCAAAATACTTTTTGTTGCCTTTTCTGGTAAAAAAAAACTTGTCTTTTGTTTTACTTCGACAAATTTAGTACTGTTTTAAGCCAAAATTGATACCAATAGCAAATGTTCATATGTGACTTTATGTTTGCTATATAAATCAGATGAGATGTATGCACTCCAAAGTCCAACCGTCGTGCGTTGTACTGCCAACAAGCTACGCCCAACTGTATATAACCAATCGGTATAGGTTTGGAGGAAGCGAATTTGATCAGTTTAAGCCTCATTGTTGTGGAACAATTTCTTAAAGAGTGATACCGTGATCCGATTATAACATAATGCTCAAAATAAATGTACAATACATACGATAAGAGAGTTCAGAATAAATCATGCGCTTGATAAGGGAGAACTCATTGTTTGATCTTTTGTAATAAATAATCAACTATGAAGTATATCTAAATACCACTTTTAACATATCATATGATTCTTTTTTCCACTCATATCCTTGTCCTAGTTCCATACAAATACATTTTACAAATACAGTTAATTAGCAAATACGGAGTATATGGTTGGACTATACAATAAGTACTTAGGTACTTTCTAAGCAAGTATGCATTCTATACATAAATAAAAATGATGGTATGAAATTATCAGCATTATATCCTTCTTCAAAAACCAAGAAAATTATGGCCCTAAACACAAAGCCAAAGGAAATACTTAGGAGAGTAAGTCCAAAAACTTGAAATGAATGACATAGAATTAACCCTTCTTCCACTCCACACCCTTAAACCCTCATCTTCAATCAGCCAATTTATGAATGCCACGTGGCAATGCAAATATCCAAACTGCATTAGATTACCTCCATGCAACCTTTGTCCATCACATACACCTACAGAGCCTCATCAACAAGATCTCACCCTTTTTTATTTATTCAAAAACAAAAGAAAAATACAATATACAAAAATAGAAATTCCTTAAAAAGACTATTACACCCTCACCCACAAAACTTAATATCTCTCGATATCCCCTCTTTAAACCTCTGTTCGACCTTTCAGTAGCTACCACATTTCATCGAAACAAGGGGCAACATTGGAAATTCGAAAATAAAAATCGCAATTTTTTTTTCTACCAATCATCAAAAGTTGAATAATTTTCTTTCCTTTGTCTTAATTCATCAAATCTTTTTATTTCCATTATCCAAAATTCTGGTCCAAATTCAATTCTTTTTCCACCAAAAGAAAAAAACCCATTTGAAGGCATAACTTCCACAAAATCCAAATAATCAAAAATCTCAAACACCCACTTCATTTTTCTACCATATACAATTTCTCCTTCTCTCTCTTAATTTTTATTAGAGAGAGAAAAAAAAAATCAAAAAATGGCAGTGTGCACAGTATACACAATTCCTACAACAACCCACTTAGGATCATTCAACCAAAACAAACAAGTATTCTTCTACAACAACAAAAGCTTCAACTACAATAAAAGATCATCATCCAATAACATATTGACAAGTAGTAGACCATATGTGATAACATGCTCAGCAGGTGACTCACAGACAGTGGTGATTGGTCTAGCAGCAGACTCAGGGTGTGGGAAGAGTACTTTCATGAGAAGATTAACAAGTGTGTTTGGTGGAGCAGCAGAACCCCCAAAAGGAGGAAACCCTGATTCCAATACCTTAATAAGTGACACAACTACTGTTATTTGTTTGGATGATTTCCATTCACTTGATCGAACTGGTAGAAAAGAGAAAGGTGTTACTGCTTTAGACCCTCGAGCCAATGACTTTGATCTAATGTATGAACAAGTTAAAGCTTTGAAAGAAGGTAAACCTGTTGATAAGCCTATTTATAATCATGTTAGTGGTTTGTTGGACCCTCCTGAGCTCATTCAACCTCCTAAGATCTTGGTCATTGAAGGGTTACACCCCATGTAAGTATTCATTCAATTCGTCTCGCTTACTTGTTATAACTAATAATTAAGTTCATGCATTACACAGACTTAAATTAACAGTCGTGTTACTATATACTGTATATGAATAGACTGTTGATAATTTACTATATAATTTTCTAGTGGCTTTTACTTGAGGTTAAGTTTAATTTGCTAATTCTTCCTTCTTAGGTTAGTATGATGAGTATGTTAATGAGTAAAAAAGGGCTATTATTATTTTTTTTTTCTAATTTTTTTTTTTTTTGTTGAGTATTAATACCTACTTTTGTAGCTGATTCCAACCTTTTCGAATTAAGTTTTATTTAGTTGGTTTTTATTAATTAACTATGCATACATTTGAGAGAGAGAGATCAAATGTACAATATGGTTGGCTGATGTATTCCAAAATGTTGATAAGGAGATAAAATCCTAAAAACGGTTGGCTGAGCTTAAGCTACTGTCTTTATCACACTCTTTTATTTTTTTATTATTGATTTTCTTACATTTATTTTTTTAATTTGAAAAAAAAATGATACTCATCTAATTTCATAGCAATGTATCGAACATGCGGTCCATATGTGATTTGAATGGTATGTTTGCAAATTCTTGTGGTCATATACTAGGAGGAAGATAATGTCATGTATTTTGTAAATAAAATAAAAATTAAATTATGCGTTTGCCGGGAGTCGAACCCGGGTCTATTGCTTGGAAGGCAATTATCCTAACCGTTGGACTACAAACGCTTGTGATGCTAACATTTTTTCTAAAAATTTATAAAGGTATGATGCACGTGTGAGGGAATTGTTGGACTTCAGTATCTACCTGGATATTAGCAATGAAGTCAAATTTGCATGGAAAATTCAGGTATAAAAATTGGAAAAAAAGACCCCTTGAAATTTCAACTATATTATGATCATATACTAGTATGTAAATTATTTTGTAAGTTGTATTATACTTTGTATTTTGTTCTAACAAACTAGTTAATTGTAAATGACATATCAGAGGGACATGAAAGAGAGAGGACACAGTCTTGAAAGCATCAAAGCCAGTATTGAAGCCAGAAAGCCAGATTTTGATGCTTACATTGGTAATTTACCATACAAACTTTTGGCTAACTATTAGCTGCATAATGAATCCCCCTGTTCCAAGAATCAAGATACTTGTTACTTATGCTCGTTAAGTCGTTATTACTTTTTTCGAAGGGATTGGAAACTCTTAGAGTCGATTAAACATTTTTCAAAATTCTAGTTTCGCGCTTGAAAGGATTAAAACTAATGATATGCTATTCTGAGTGCAGATCCTCAAAAACAGTATGCTGATGTGGTGATTGAAGTACTACCAACCCAACTCATTCCTGATGATGATGAAGGCAAAGTCTTGAGAGTTAAGATGATTCAAAAGGAAGGAGTGAAGTACTTCAACCCAGTTTACTTGTTTGATGAAGGATCTACTATTTCCTGGATTCCCTGTGGTAGGAAACTAACATGTTCTTACCCTGGCATCAAGTTTTCCTACGGCCCCGACACCTTCTATGACAACGAGGTATCATCCTCTTCAATCTATATTATATATAGCCTTATTGGCAGTGGTTCGAAATGATGTGTGTGCCATATCATGACATTCTGTATGATTTTGTAGGTGACTGTGGTAGAGATGGATGGGCAGTTTGACAGATTAGACGAACTAATCTATGTCGAGTCTCATTTGAGCAACCTATCAACCAAGTTCTATGGTGAAGTCACCCAACAAATGTTGAAGCACCAAGAATTTCCCGGAAGCAACAATGGAACTGGTTTCTTCCAAACTATCATTGGATTGAAGATCAGAGACTTGTTCGAGCAGATTGTTGCCAACAGGGCTGCAGCTCCCGCAGCAGCTGCTAAGGCCTAAAAAGCTTGAGTTTACAGATGATAAAATATTAATATGCCACTCTGAATCTCAAATTTTTCCTCCTCTCTTCATTTGTAATTTCCACTACCTATTCTTCTTGTATAAGTTGTTTTTGTAGAGTACTCTGATATTCTGCTGTTAATAGACATCATTTAAAGCAAGATATGAAAAATGCGGTTTCATAGCATCAAACATACTTCACACGTTTCTTTTTGTCAATCACGTCGTATAGCTTCCATCAGAAAAAAACTTCTTGTAAAATTCTCTTGATAAAAGATCTTCTTTACAGTTGAAGTGTTGAACAATATCAAAAACTTCTAGGTTGTGTAAATATTTTAATTCAGATTTCAGTTCCATGTTTGAATAATAACAGAATTCATATCACGCATCAAGAATTCCTGGTCACTAACACTTCACCTTTGATCTATACTTTTAAAACAACATAAAAGATGCAAAGAGAAACCAATAAATTTTAATGGTTGTCTATTTCCTTCAAGAACAAAGACGGGAAAAGTTGGGAAAAATTAAGAGCAACAAACCAATTTCAGGCTTAATAAAGGGATCATAAATACTTCCATACACTAAAGAACTTAAACAAGTTTAAAAATCTACATACCCGTACCTAAAACCTTGAACTGCTTAGATATAGACATTAAGATTTTATGCCTACTTGGAAAATGATGCAGATACTGTAAAAGGAGAAACAGGAAACAGAGGCATCTTCATAGAGAAACTAGACCATTTCACTTAATCGTCACAAATTTGTTGGTACCATGCTTAGCCCAATGATCCTTGAGGTCAATCGGAAGAGTCAGGTCATAGCCCTCAGCAGCAAGTCTTTGAAAAAGTTTATCATAAGCCCCATGGCTCATTTTCCTTCCAGCAGTGCGTGAACCAGGCCTTGTGGCACTCATAGGAAGTGGATACTCTGATATGTTAGTTGTGCAACAAGACGATTGCCAACCCCCTGAACCCCATCGGTAGCACTGCCGAGCAGCACCTGTACAAAAGCAAACTGGTGCTGGGAGTCCAGAAGCATCTGTAGTTGACTCATTGCTACGGGAATTCAAGTTTTTCCTCTCACGTTTTGCTGCTGAAGAACCACTTTTAGCCTTTGCCTTTTTAATTTTCGGTTTAGGTTCCTTTGGTGCAGCATCATCAGAGGTTTTCTTTGATGTCTTTGGCTTCTTAGTAGGCTTAGAGGGCTGAGGCTCATCATCCACAACAATATTGGCTGCCTCATTTATAGGCATGCATCGAATGGGCATAGCTGACATTGCTCCTTCAGGGTTGTGTTGAGTTCCTTGGAATGGATTGAATCCATTTCTTGTTGCAGCTAGATAATTTCCTGGGTGAAACCATGAAAAGTGCGGGACAGATCTGCTTCTATTTCCTTCAGGTATAATGGGGTAGTTTGAGCGAAATGTCCCCATCTTCAATCTAACAAACCACTACTTAACAAGAGGAAACAGCTAAATCCGAAACTTTGAAGGTATGCTGAAAGCGGAGTTCTACACGTCAATCATCGATGTTGCAGGCAGGAAACTATAGCACCTAGCAACAGGGCAGACAAAAAGCAAACAAAGTTCAACCTTTTTTTCAGAAATTTAAAACAATTGATCAACTGAATACAGCTATTAAACAATCAAGAAGCTACACAAAACATCCTACCCATTCTAAATAACTTTATCTCAGGAAAACCCTTGAAAGAAGAATTTCAATGGGAAATTAACATCAAGTTGGTTGATAACAGTCTAGGATACAGAAACCGATTGCGCGAATATACCTCCAACTACAACTATATTCACCCTTCATAGATAAAACCAACATTTCAAGCAACAATGGACTCTAATATTCTCTACACACTAGCCTAATTACTCCCTCCGTACCACTAAGATTGCTCCATATACTAAAAATGGATGTCAAGATAATAGAGTTCCTAGAGGAATCAACAACTCATAAAGCCAAGATAATTAAAAAAAGTAAACTGACACCCAATTCCTGAACAATACAAAGAATCATTCATGTTCATAGCAACAAACAAATAAGAAACCCAATTAAACCAATTTGTACTGATTGAAAAGGGGGAAGTACACATGCAATGAACAATTTTCAAGCAACCCTTTAAACTTACAACTACATATTAGAAATCCCACAAAATAAAATCAACAAAAAGCAGCAGATATTCATACAAAAACCACTAAATCAAAACATATGAAATAACCCAAAATCACAGAAATGGAAACAGCAAATTGCCACATTTTAAGCATAAATACAAAGGAAACAACTCAAAAGTCAAAACAAATCAGAAAAACTACAAAACCGAGGTACCCAGAAGCCAAAATTTGAATTTTTCTTAAAAAAAAAACGGAAAAAAAAAAAAAAAAAGGATGAAGGGATTATGAAAGTTACCCAAATCCCGTTATCCAGAAGTTGAAATTGAAGGTTCTAAGCTCAAAAGCTGTGAACTTTACAAGCTGATTTCTGTGCAAAAATGGTAGAAAAGAAGCAGAATAAGGATGAATTAGTGCAAAAATTGGGAAATGTTAGGCTTCACTCGGGAAATGAACGAATCTGATAGTAAAAGAGTAAACAAAATAGGGGGAGAAGGGAGACGAGACGAGAGTAGTGGGTGTTGCTGCTGCCTGACATCTTTTGACGGATTTAGGACCCACTTTCAAGAAATTTGTTTTTTCGTTGATTTGGATGAATTTTTAAAATTACGTTTTTTATTTTGACTCCTAAATTTAAGTGAGACGGTCTGAACAAACGTTTTTAATCAATGAATATTTTTTACTTTAACTAGCAAAAAAATATCATTTTTTCATTTAAAACAAGGTACTCTGTAATGAAAAACTACTAATGCCTACTCCCTTGAGGCCTGGATCCCTCCGATCATCTATGCTCATTGAATTTTGATGAGAGAGGATCAACTTAAGCTATAGAGAGTTAGAGAGTACATGAAATATTCCCATTTTAAACAAAGAAATGTGTTGTTTGAGAAGGGTGAATGACGCTTAAAAATTGAAATCATGCATTGAGAAATTCAATTAGCGAAAAATGAAAGAATGTTAATAAATTTGGACATTCACAATATAAAGTTTGAGATAATTTTTTTTTCAAGATTTCAATTGGAAATAACTTTTTAAACCTTCCTAATAGCGAAACAGGAAGAACAAAAATGATCAGGGAGGATAGTTTGTTAATATACTCCTTTTAATCATCTTACCTTCCTTTATAAGAAGAAGTCAATTTTTATTCCATTTTAAATGTTAACCTACATATTTGATCAAGATAAAATAAATGTGATGAAATTTTCTACATTGTATATAAATAAATAATTTTTCTTTTTCTAGAGTAGCCACTAATATTACTAGTTTGAACTTTGAAATGTTAAGTTACCCAAAAATAAATAAAAAAAAAAAAAAAATCAGTAGACTGCACTAATTTTATGGGATACCCAATTGCATCTTTCCCTTTAAAGTCAGGACCTTTTGTTTTTACAAGTAATGGTAATCGTATCAATTTTTGTTATACAAATTAAAATTTGTGTACTAGTACAACATCCTGCTATGGCGGCTATGCATGGTGTCTTCATTTGTCGATCCACTTAATCAGTTGAACTATCAATCATACAAAAGGTTACTCGAGTTCCTCGCATTCTATTTTACTTAGACTCGGGTACCCATGTCCGACACGGGTACGTATCCAAGCGTCCGACTCGGCTATTATGTGAAAAAAATTCCATGATTTTGAGCTAAAAGTAAAGTGTCCGAGTATCATATCCATGTCCAAGTGTCGAGGGTTCGACACGAATGAGTCCGAGTAACATAGTCACATCTCTCTTATTACATCCAATCAGATATATAATTGTACAGAACGACGATATTACAGCATCAAAGGGCAGCATAGACGGGTTTAAAATAAGTTCACATCTCAGTATCTCACCCACCATTGCTTTATTGATGCTAATGAGAGTTACAAGTATATACCAGGCATTCAACAAATCTTTACATTCTCCCTTCAGTTTCGTCGCCTGGTTGTGAAGGAGTCCATCAAAGATAGTCTTCGATAAACATTTGAGGACAATATAAAATAAACCATGTGCGAAAAATAGGTTGAACCATAATTATCTACAACGAAAACGAATATACTTTGCCACAACGAATCATTATGTACAATGCGTCAATGTACATAGGAAGTTTATGTTACTTAGTAATATCTGGAAAAAATTTACAGCAAATGAACCAAGAAAAATCAACCAACCACAGCAAGCAGACTTTGGCGGACAGCAGGAATTGAGCATAGAAGGGAGCCAAAGATTCCAGTGAGCGCATACGCAATTGCACAGAATGGTAGTGCCTCTGGTTCCTTTGCTGATAAAGCTGCTGTCCCTAATCCATGAGCACTATATTGAACACCAATAATGTAGTTTTAGAATTGGTAAAATGAGCAAAAGTTCAGAGGTGTTGGATCTTACGATGAGCTATATCAGGAAAATCAAAGCAAGCAATACTGAACCACTGAAATCAATAAATCTCGACCATGTAAAGGCCTTGAACCACATACATTAAAAAGTTTGTAAGTTCGTTAATATGTATTGGTAAAGAAACATTGATTATTGTAATGATATTGCAAATTAGGCTTCAAGTTATATTGATATAGCGAAACAACATTTAATAATGCATAAGCTTAGTGGAAGGGAATTGTAATTTGACCAAAAGAAATTAGTAAGAATGACCAATGTTTGGAACAAAGGGAGTCTTTGTATAAGTTTCTCACCTAGATGCCGTAGCTATTCCTCGAGCAATGGGATCGCGGAACTGCAGCTTATCGAGCACAAATTGCACAAAATTGGCCCCAACAAGACCAGTTAGCACGACCACAGCAGCGGTTAGGGACGAATTTGTACCTAAATAAGCAGAAGTTTATCAAGCTTTCCATTTTCAGCACCAGTTAAAGAATGCTTGGAAAAAAAACCTCAGGACAAATGAGTTCCTATTTGTCAAGCTTACAAAATAGTGCATAGAGCTTTTACCTTCAAATAAAGAGACAATGCTGAGGGCCAAAGCCACAGTGATACACCGTGGTAAAATCGAAATAGTCAAAGAACGTTCAAGCCCAACAAGACGCCCTACGAGAGCAGTTGAATACAAAGAGAATAGTGTTGCGACAATGATAGAAGTGAAGATCTCTGCTGCATGCCTCTTCACAAGCTGAGAAGTATTGAACACCAGAGGTTACAGGTCAAGAGATTAATATTAAGACAATAATTTTAGTAGCAATGATAAAAACTGGTGGGAGAGGATTTTATTTCATTACCTTTCTCTGTTTGAACATAGAAAAGGCAAAGGAAATGATAACAGATCCCAAGAATCCCATCAAAATGTCACCAGCTCCAGGGTTTGTTGACACCTTGGTTAGATAATATCCTTCAGAGACCACAGTCACAGTGTATTAGCGTTAGCCTAGGAAGAGATAAGCAAAGCCTATCCTGCTTATTTTTGCAAAAAGAGCTATCAATTAGATTTCCTTTTACTCTAACAACCTCATGTATACGAAAGAGGCTTAAAAGGGAAGAAGTGATGAAACCAAGAAGACCCTAGATGGAAAAAAATTACAAAATATACACACATTGAGTCACCGATACAAAGATACACTCCGATTTCAGGTTTTTAATTTCACCTGGCATGACTAAGCCAAAGCATTATATTACTATAGACTCTGAGCAAAGTTGGTTGCAAACCTAAAACAGGATCCATTCCAGATTTTGAGATGTACCCAAAGGCAAAGGCTGCCAAATCTGCTGAAAGTGCACAACAGATAATTGGATGAAATAGCATCTTCAAGGCAGAAGGTAACCTAAATGCAAAAGAAAAGAAGGATAAGTTTTTACCAAATCAACAATGTTCTAGTCATCCATCAGTCAGAGAATTCAGAGCGGTGAAAACAAAAGCATACCCAGAGCCAATCATGTAGCCTAGTACTGTTGCTGCAAGCAAGAAAGGAAGGCAGGTGCGAGCAGCAGTTCCCAGTATAGTTGGGTATAGGTATGCGCCAGAAAATGATGCAATGAAAATGCCACTCCAAGCCCACACTTCAGTAGCAGAAAAGGGAGGTGGTTTCGACATAGGCTCAGCAGGTATCATTTCTGTCTTGACGAGGTTCCTCACAGCTATAGCTGTATACGCAGCAACACAAAGCGAAGCTAGCCACCCACCAGCTACAAAGAACACATGGTTAGATATAGAGACATAATCAGGCTCTAATATGGCAAGAGCCGTATGACTACTTACTAAAGGAAAAGAAATTATGTCTAGTCTGTAGTGAAGAAGACATGTCACACAATCTAAATCGAATTAATCATTAATAAGCTGGTAACTACTGATAGCATTGGCGATTCTTTCACCAAGTACATAGCACTTTAAAAACCATATTACTATTTTGGTATTTACATAGTCCAATGCCTATAATTGTAGCTGAGGACACTTGGTTGTGCACTGGTTTCGAAATCCATAATGTGGAAACCTATCTATTACAGTTGACATGATCTTCTATTTCTTCACTAGTAATTCTGGTCAGATAGATTATCTTTAACAAAGACATAATTTGGCACCCCAGTGATACCAAGTTTTAACAGCACACTCTGTAGCACTGTTGCTCAATACACTCAGAAGCTGAAAGAAATTATGGCCTCAAAGGTTATATGATATAAATTCAGAGAAATTCAGAACAAGCATTGATTGAACAATAAACAAAATCCAAATGCACTAATTAAAAACAATAAACATTTTCATCCAAAACCATGATTAAAACAATAGCAGACAATTGAAATCCAAAAGACAAAGAAAGTTAGAAAAGGTGTCACAACAGTTTTAAACATGAATTACACCAAAAAGGAGCAAACACTAAAAGCATGTATATAAGGGTGTAATAAGCGTGAATACCTAAAATGCCAACGATCTTCAATCCAGAAGCTGCGGGTATATCTCTAACAGCAAGAGGCAAGATTACCAGTGAAGGAACATAGAACAACGGAAGCCATCTTTGAATGAACAAAAGGGCTGGCTCAAAAAAGTTCACCAAACTCGCTGCAGCAGCCGGAACTATAGTGTCAAGGATCGTTAAAACTGAAAATGTACAAAACATTCCAAATAATGCACTTGGGAATTGAATTGATGCAGCTACAAAAGCCTGCTTCAGCAACTTATCCATTGCCAAAATAATCCCCAGTGAAACAACCAAATGCAGTACACCCACCACCTGATTATATCAATGAACACCAAATCACTTTGTTAGCTAGTAAGCCATCCTAACAACAACCCGCCAAAAACTAACATTCAATCAACATCTAAATTATACTTGGTACCTAATTACATCAATAAAATACATAATGGCAATCAAAATTGGGCTTTTACAATAACCCGCCTCAATTTCATTTATTTCAATCAAATTAATACATAAATAATATGTATAGTAGATCAATAGTTCTTACTCGTATATACTTACATGCAACGGGTGTATTGTAAACAAAACGACACATTTTATCACCCCAAATCACATAAAAGGTCAAAATAAACAATAATACACTCAATAATCAACAATGTCTCAATGCAACAATGACATTATGAATACATTGGTAAAAGAAAGTTGATACTCACAGTTTGAAAGATTGAGGAAGTAACACCATCTTTAGAACTAGAACCAAGTGATTTTGCCAAAAAAATTCGATTTGAATGGGTTTTATGAGGACCCAATTGCAAAAATCGGTACCCAGAACCAACAAATTTAATGGGTATCCCTGATTTTTCATTATTTGATAGACATTTGATGGGATTAACACCAACATTAAAGGGTCTGGGATTTTTCCCTAACAAATTTTGTGTTCATCATTTTGCGATTAGTTAAAGGGCTAAATGATAGATTAGTTGTTGCAACTGCCATGGCAGTAGCCATGGTAGTATAGGATGATAGTACTGAGAGAGTGAGTTTGAGGGTAACAAAAATTGTGAGTTTTGTGGGGTTTTTGTGGCATATTTTTGGTTGAAATTCCCAAATATTTTTGGTTTTGTGGGGGCCTTAAACTGTTTTGTATGGATACAAAATAGCCGTTCTTATCAAAGAGCTAAGAAGGGGTAATCTCCCGGAGAAATTTCAGAGTGTGGTTTTGATTAGTTGAATGTGTGAATGATGAGCATTCAAGAGGTTGTCTCACTTGTTTTTATCTTGGGAATAAAGGGCAAGGGTCCCCTCTCGGCATTAATAAAATATTGATTGAATAGGAGTAGTTTCAGATAAAATAAGTTGATTAAAGCAAAACTTAACAAGAGAGCCTAAGCATAATATTAGAGAGTTGGAGACCTTGGAGCCAAATCCTAATGATCAAACCTAATTCCTCTCATGTTCGCCACAAATACATGAACGTAGTTTTCACTTCACCTTATTTTCTTTAATCTTATTAGTTCTTATCATTCCTTGTATTATTTGAACTTATTAACCCTAATCTATCTTATTTAAACTTTCTAAACTTATTATCCCTAGAAGTTTGTTTATATCTCTACAAAAGGATATAAACAAACTTCTAGGGTTTGGTTAAGTGGCTTTTCCACATCGATAGAAATTATATTTAATCTTATAAGGAGAATATTATTAGGAGTACATAGATTGTCATCCATTAATTTATTGCTTATTGGAAAATTATTTGAAAGAGGATTCATTGATAAATCAAGCTTCAAAAATTAAAAATAGAAATATAGAATTGTACCTTATCAATTAAGCATCTTGGAATCATTTTCTTCATTTGTGCTTGAAATGCTACTCTATGTAACATCAACCTCGAAAAATTGATAGATAGGATTGGAGAGTAGTGCATTGCTGAAAAAAGAATGAAACTCCAACAACTTTAAAATTTGAGTGTAAAAATATACAATGTTAAATTTATAATAAAATTTGAATTCTACGTTTTTGCCTATATCTTAGACAAAATAGAATTTTAACTAGAAAAGTGGCCATATCCTCTTTATTAGGAATAGATATTTATGAGAGTGATTCAGGAAAGTAAATCAATGCAAAATTTTTGTAATTAAATAATATCTACCTTTTTAGGTTTACAACCATCCTTTGTACTACGTAACCAAATACTCATACGGATTAATTATAGCATTTATATGAAAGGTGTTATCTTATTATATGTCTATGAATATATATTGGAGAAAAGGCAGAGTTTATAAAAAAAAATGTACAAATTGATATTTACTCCTTCGGTGATAATATACTCCGCACTTCATAGTACTTATACATTAATATTCCTTTGCAGTCAAATTTTACACGGTTAGTATTGCGTAGTAAGGTGATTTTATTTTGTACTATAAGAGACAAGGTGGCTCATTAGTTGATTTGTCATTTACATTGTACTCATTCTCTCTCTCACTCCATGGCCACCCTACTAGCCTACTAGTCTATTACCATGAAGTCAGCCCATTGGGCCACTAGAGATCCAATGGATCTTATGCTAATCCAAGAAGGACCGTATTGGGCCAGTGAAGCTAAGATATAGCTTTGTGAATTTAGCCATTTAGGCCCATGCAGCCATTCTTGGATCTTCTTAAATTTGGAGTTGTCTCAACCCAACTCACCATCTCATAATCAATCAATCAACACCTTTTTCTTTTTTTTTTTTCCCTTCTTTGTGTGTGTTAGTGTGTATGTTTGAAATTTGAAAATAATCTGACTATGTGCTTTTAAATTTATAAATGTAAGTATAAATTTATATTACTACATTTTGAAAGCAACTTCACACGTTAATATTAATGATCATCTCACACAATAAATTTTAGAGTAAGTAATTACAGATTATGAAGTAGGATGAGTGATTACTAGTTAAAAATGTAAATCGTGCAAGTGTTAATTAGTTAGCCAACTTTGAAATACAAATGGGTGATAATTGATAATGTTAAGGGGAATTGTGGACTCTTGGAGGATCGTCAATTGTTCATGCTATTTTCTTGGAGAACATGAGTAGGGATTACTTGCCCTCGAATAATATCAACTTTCGTGATGTATCTTAGATTAAGCTTGGCTAATGTACAATAGTTTTTTTATTTTGCACTATTCATTATTTGTCTCTGTTTTTCGCACGCCTTTTATTTTGTCTATTCAGTTATACCTTTGATTTCCTACCATAGAAAAAATAATATATTGGATCTAAGTTTTAACAGGACTTACAAAGTATTGCTTTTCTTTTATAGAATGATTCGAGTAATTGATAAATTTTTAAATATTACTATAACTTAGATATATACTCTGTACAAAAGAATAATGCCTTATCGAATTAGAAGCTCACATAGTTCAATCCTACCTGAATTATCCCTTAAGAATAAAGGGATAGGATAAGAGAATACTCTTATGTTTAAATTACACAAGAAAATAATTTTTTATTGGGTTGAATACAAACCCTCATCCAAGGAAAATATGATTGTAAATAAGCCCATTAAATTTTTATCTTGTTCTTTTATTTAAGTCAACAAGTTAACCAATACATTTACCAATATACATTTTTAGCTATTACTATATTTAATTTTACATCATATCTATGTAGATTATATTTTAAGTGTATATATATTATGAAGATATACTCGTACATTGTACAAAGTAATAACTAATCACTGCTCCATACATAAAAACTTAGATGTATTTCATACTTGTGTTATTTTTTTTTTTGGTTGGTAAGGAGAAGGGTCCTATCGGGCCGGAACCTCACACAGGTATTCCCGACCCGAGATAGCGGGCTAGACACTTTGGGAACAGGGGGAAAGTGTAAGGGAATCCCCAAGGTGCCTCTAGGGGATACAAACTTACCAACTAGACCAAGCTTTGTTCGGTTCATACTTGTGTTATTTATTCCCTCTGTTTTTTCAAATTTATCACTTTGATTTAACCTCTTCTATTCACATACTACCTTTGACTTAATTTTTTATTATTATAAAATAGATAAATGTTATTATATAATATATCATTAGATTAGTCACAATATCTATTTTTATTATTTAATTTTATTACACTTTTCACTAATAGGCAATTAAAGATATTAATGATTAAAATTACATATTGATAAATGTACTGATCAAAGTAATGCAAAAAAAAAAAAAAAAAAAAATAAAATAAAAAGTATACACTAGTATGGACTATGGAGTAAAAGATTAAGGCAAAGTAAGGCTTTGTTCATTTGAGCTTATGATAGAGTAGATTTCAGTAGAGTAGAATAGATATCAACAGAACAGGGCATATTTCAGTTAACAAAGCAGAGCAAAGCATATTTCAGTTAACAAAGCAGAGCAGAGCATATTTCATCCGAACAGTTCTAAAAAACAAGGCCAAAGTAGAAGAGGGGCAAAGAGAGAGAGGAGTTTACTCTTTTATTCAATTGTGGGACCATTGTTGGAATGTAAGTTTGCAACAGTACATGCAAGATGCAACAATAATATCCAAATACTGACAAAACGTCAAAACATGATTCATTTGCATGTGTCTGAACTCTGAAGTGTTATAAGAAAAGCAAGTGACAAAGATATGACTGGCAGGCCCAATGCATGATGGCCCAGTGTAGTGATGCAAACAATTTTGCAATGTTTTGGGAAGGTTGCCCAACAAATTTAACCCTCAATTTTTAGTCTCGTGAGCAATGTAATCAACAATGTCGTTTGTCTTACACCTTTAAATATTTTTAATTAGTTCGATCCCGAATTGAAATTACTTAGACAAATTGTATTTTGACATTATAATGGTTTCGGTAAAACACAATTATATCTTTACGAAGCTTTAATCGTGTACTCATTCTGTGTTTTAGTTTAAGTGCCCTTACTTGAATTTTTTTATTTTTTTTTTTTACTATGCTCCCGCACCATTTTGATAAAAGATTGTGATTTATATATAAGATTAAATATAGTCATATGACTACTTGTTAAAATTGTCTTAATGTGTGTTTTTCAAATATCTACTTTTTATTAAATGAAATATACCTATGCCGAAATTTTGCATTAGCAAATATGCCAGTAGTCATTTTCGAGTATCAACTTTTTATGAAATAATACGGAGTATAATACCAAAATTTCGCATTAGCAATTTTTGTCGATCAAATTGGTGAGGAGTACAACTTTTAGCGCAATTTGCTAATCAAATGTTGATTACTCTGTAAATTAATATCATACAAGAAACTGTTTTCTTGACAAAAGAGGATCAAATTACACTTGAGCTAAATCAAGCAAATAATATGACACAAAACCAAAAATGATCACAGTTTCACAGTCTAATTTACAGAAATTAAGAAATACTAGAGCTTGGAACTGTTGGAAGGCAGTAAGTTTTTCAAATTTCTCCTTAGTACTTTCCCTGCTACTGATTTCGGTATCGAGTTCACAAACACCACTTCTCTCACTTTCTTGTGTGGCGCTACCTGCAACAACTCAATACAATTAGCATCACTTTAATGTTGCTTTATGTATTCGTCGAACTTGATTTTTCATCTTCTTTTTACGAAACTATATATATAATCTTTAAGGTAAGAGTGTTAACCATGTCTGCAACGTATTTGACAATGTCGTTCCTAGACAGTAAGCTTCCCGGCTTCTTCACGACAAACGCTACCGGTATCTCCCCAGCTTTGTCATCAGCAACACTGGATCGGACACATGCAGTTACGTTATACGAAGTACAAACGTTATAATTCAGATGATTTGTTTGTTTTTGATAATGTCGTAGATTATATATAAAAATGACAGTAAAAATACTGATACTATGTTGTTACTTGGACTATTCTTCTCATCTCTAGTAGTAGTATTTTTCAGATAACACTTTGATAAGTTAATAAACATTAGACATTTCAATTATATGCACAATTTTACGTACTTCTTAGTGAATAATACTTCGTACTTCATAGTAGTTTAGTATATAGTAACATACCCAGTAACGGCAACATCAGCTATTTCAGGATGAGACACCAGTATAGTTTCAAGATCAGCAGGAGCAATCTGTAGATGGGAATTTGAAAGAAACCCGAATTCCTGTTAGACTAAAAATTGACATACAGTAAAATACTCCTAGTTAAATATGGTGTTTTTTTTTGGTTTTTTTTTTTTTTTTTTTTTTTTTTTTTTTTTATTTTTACAGTTCATACCTGGAAGCCCTTATACTTGATGATATCCTTCAACCGATCAATAACGTATATGTAACCATCATTGTCAAAATACACTATGTCCCCAGTAAGCAGCCAACCATTTTCGTCGATTGTTTGTCTTGTAGCCTCTGCGTTGTTGAAATATCCTGTCATTCACAGAAGGCTTAGCTTGTTATGATCGTGTAAGGAATGTACGTACTTAATTCCGTATGATCAACACCTATGATACATACGTGGCTCAGGTACTCGTGCTAAACATAGGAACATACATGTCCAAATATAATAAAATTCCAAATGTTCGTTTGGTGGAATTATGTAGTGTCTATGTAATGTACACTAGACAAATGGCGGTGTTTCACGTACCTTTCATGATACCAGGACCGCGCAGCAACAGTTCTCCGGCCTTCCCGGGTGGCATGCATGAACCTGTACTGCAATTAACCACTTTTGCTTCCATATTTGGAGCCAAGAGGCCTATTGAAGTGTACTTGTGAGTTTTTCCTGGTGCATTGAATCCACGAGTTCCTACAGCTGTTGTCTCAGTCATGCCATAACCCTGCATAATATTATGCACTAGATTATTTGCACCTGAAGTCACAAGTTTATTACAATAGTAAATTGAAAAACTTATTCAAGAATCCATTTTCAAAGCAAATTAACCCCAAAATAAGTACAGTAAATAATATAAGGATTCAGTTTTTATAATTTCGTGTATGACTAGTTACAAGATTCCGTTACCAAATGAACCTGTCAAATAGGTTGGTATGATAATAAAGGTTTAATATTGGATCGTTTTCAGTCAATTTATGAGTCAAATCTTTATATTATTAAGTAATTCAAAAGTATTAAGACCCTAGCTTTTAGTTAATCATTTTGGATTATGAATGGAAAAATATTATTCAAGGGTATATGACCCTAGCTTTTAGTTTGAGCTAATTTGGGTTATATTAAGATAATTTTTCTTTAACATGATACTAGAGCACCCCCACTCACCCCCGAGTCATGATAACCCCATCTAAGAGATGAACACCTAATGTTACTCGTAAAAACCCCAAAATGTCCTCATATATGTCACCAATTTAAAAAAAAAAAAGTACCCTTCAGAGTAAAATTCTCTTTGCCTCGTTTTAGAGATAGCTTTATCATCACGCAATATAAAACTAGAAAAGAAAGAAAGAAAAAAAAAAAAGTGTGTAGAACAATCAATACTAGACTACTAGTAGAATAGGTAAATGCCATAGTGACCCATTAAAATGAATAAAGAATCAATAAATAAAGTTCACTTACCTGAATAAAATCAACAGTAGGAAAAGTGTGCAAGAAATCAGCAAGAATTTTAGTAGTTAAAGGGGCAGCACCGCAAGAAACCTGCTTCAAACTGCACAACTGACTAACCCCAAAAACACCACCTAAACTCCTAGCTTTTGCTGTCAATGCTCCCAAAATAGGTGGAACAAGAGGAAAATGTGTTACCTTAAACTTATCAATCACTTTAACAACCTCATTTATATCAAATTTTGTCATCACAACTATACTAGTTCCCAATGAAATCAAACCAACTCCAAATAATGCAAGCCCATAAACATGAAACATTGGCATAACAGCCAAATATACATTTCTTTTATGATCCATTATTTCTTTATATTGTGATGCTTCAAATCTTACAAATAACTCCAATGTTGCAATAAGATTTCTGTGTGTAAGCATAACACCTTTGCTTGCACCACTCGTACCGGAAGAATACAGTATTGCTGCAGTATCATCTTGGTTGATTTTAGGGGGTAAAAATGGAGTCTTTTCATGAATTTTACCAAAAATGAGGTTAGAAAACTCGGGAAAATTCTGGGTTTCTTTAATAAGGACATTTGTAACAACTTGAATGGTTTTTAGGCCTAAAGATGATAACTTTTCTGCATTTTCAGGTAGAGTAAAGGCTAATTTTGCATGACTATTAAGTGTTTGTTTTTTTGCCTCAGAGAAAGAAGACAGAGGATTCATGGGTGTAACAATGGCACCTAGATAAACAATACCCAGAAAAATTATTGGAAAATATATTGAATTTGGTAAGAAAATCAATACAACATCACCCTTAGAAATCCCCATTTGGTGGAGCCCACATGCCATGGATTTAACAAGAGGAAAAAGTTCAGAATATGGGATTGAATACCCAGATGAAGAATCAACAAGAACAGAGTTGCTGATGCCATTTTTATGGTAAGAGAAAATGTGAGTAACAATGTCAAGAAATGGGGTTTTAGGGAGATTAATTTTGGGATGTTTACTGCTGTAAATGCCTGTTTCTGGGGAAAACCAAGAATTGTATTGAATTTCTGGGTTTTTGATGGTTTGATGATGAGTGCTGATAGTTTCTGCCATTTTTTTTTTTTTTTTTTTCCAGTTGTCAGAAAATAAAACTAAAATTTTGTTGGGAGGATGGAATGTGTGGAATGTGGGATGTTTTGAGTGTTTTTAAAGAGTTTTGAGACCTAATAAATGCTTTTGCCCCCGCAATTTGAGCCTGACCCCGATTGAATTCGGATTAGTTGAATCGAGTCTAATATAATACGCTCTGGTTTAATCAACGAGTGATTACCCTTGAGATTAAACAAAAAAAAATACTCTGTAACCAATAATGTTTGTTCACTTGACATTTATGCTCATCACATTTATAATTTGGCAGACTCACGTTAATTGTAATCCTTCTTGAAGAATGTGAGGGTGCACAAGCAGTACCAAGTGGATGTCTTGAGTAACAAGGTTGCGAGGGATTCAACCCTGCCTATGTTGCCTTTTGAATTCAACGGCAAAATTTATTACTTTTATGACTATTTTTTAAAACATTTTTGTTGGATTTTGGTGTATAGGGAGAAAATGACTCGATTTTATTTCAAAATCAACCAACACATTTAAGAAGTTTATATAAATGAGTTACTCATTGATATTTACGTAATTTTTATCTGTGAGAGACGAGTGATTAATCGTTAGTCGTTAATAGACGGTCATACGACATCATCATTTATAACAATAATCACTCCACATCTCTAGGTAAATGATAATTTAAGAGATTATCATAAAATGCTTCATCAATTTACTATTTTGTATAATGAATATATATCACATTTTTTTTAAAAATAAGTAATATTCCAACCATAAACGAAATTCAATTAAAAAAAATCAAAATCATTGATGTCGAATCTTATAGAAATATTAGAATGAAAAATCTTTGTAAGTTCACCATAATTCATACTTCATATTTTCAAATATTGCAAGAAGTATTTTATAATTTCTGAAGAAACAATCATGTAATTAAATATAGTCATGGTGCAAAAAATAAATAAATAAATAAAATAATGAATATGCTCATTCAACTACTTGCACCATGAATGAGTATAAACGGGTGTTGCCAGTCTTCTCAATATGTTGGAACTCTGGGAAGCACTCCTAATAAATTGATGTGTATGACTGCTACGCCATATTAAACGTGATTCATGTCATGTATAAATGTATACGTCCAACTTTCAATTGTATAAGACTATTAGTAATAGCCTTATTGGTGTCAATTCGGGTACTTGAGTTGTGTTTGGTGAGGTCGGATCGGATCTATTTGAAAGTTGAGTTATGTAAAATTATTGTGTCATGATACAAGTCGAAATCTAAATTGAATTTTTTTTTTTAGATCAGATTGGATCGGGTCAGTTTTTGACACCTTTAAATGCCTTTTATATAACTCAACTTTTATCAGATTATTTTATTATAACGTTTGCATGGGTCGACATTTTTTTGTGTTCAGTCACATTCCGGTGATGAATTACAATACTGGACAAAGTTCTCACTCAATTTCTGTTTTACTGCATGTCTAAGTAGCAAAGATTTCTCATGACAAGAAAATTTGTCTTACATCAAAATATTGGCAGGACTCCAACTACCATAAAAAAAAAATTGTAAATTTCATATCATATATCCTAATATCATATGGTTCCATACTTGATTTGTATAAAAAATCATGTATAACAACAAATATGTTATTATATACTAATATAATAATCAGAAAGACAAGTGTTGCAATTAATCAGAAACAGAGGCCGTGCTTACTAGCTACTGAGTATCAAAGCATAGGTAGTTGGAAACAAGAATGAAATAGTGCACCGCACTTCAAGCATCTAAAAATCAGAAATGTGATTGATTTGGTTGACGTAAGGTGGAAGCATCTCCAAGTCTTGCAAAGAAAAACTAGTAAAGTGCATAATTTAGCTGGCTTTGCGGCATGTGAAGAACTCAAGAATGATGATGCCATGATATGTTGACCTTTTAAAAGTCAAAACTATTGCGTAATAAACTTTTCTTTATTTTCTACTAACATCAATCACTAACCCCAAATTCAAGGATCTAAATCTCACTAATTAATGATATGTAGTTATGTACTCTCTTTAGAGTCTTTATATACTAATAGTTGTTCAATACTTATTAGCTTGTACTCCCTCCGCATTTTATTACTCACTCCATTTCTTCATGCATGGAGTTTTAAGAGAAATGATAGAAAGTAATAAAATATGAAGGGAGTGAGGTTGGTTGATAGTTAGGGGTCTACTAGGAAAGAAAAAATTAGTAAAATATTGTGAAAGGTTTCCAAAAAAGAAATGGAACAAGTAATAAAATACGGCCACAAAAGAAAAGTGGAGCAAGTAATAAAATACGGAGGGAGTATACAGTACTATTCCGTGCAACTCGAATTTATAGTTGCCTAACGGATTACTCCTTATTTAGATCATCAACGTACCCTGCAATTATAATAGTATGAACACGAGTTAGTCTAATTAATATGGAGTACATTATCAATGTACCCCAATTATGATAGTATGAAAACCAGTTAGTTTTATACGGAGTACTCCCTCTGGTTACTCTTTCGTGCAACTCAAGTTTATAGTTGCGTAGCGGATTACTCTTCCGTGCAATTCAAGTTTATAGTTGCCTAGCGGATTACTTCTCATTTAGATCATCAACGTACTCTGCAATAACACGAGTTAGTCTAATTAATATGGAGTATATCATCAATGTACACCAATTATGATAGTATGAAAACCAGTTAGTTTAATACGGAGTACTCCCTCTGGCCTCTGTACCTTATTTTTTGCCCCATTTGACTTTTCACGGTCTTAAAGACGCGTGTTCAAACGTATATATCTTAATTTCTATACGCATAAAAATTATAAAAATTGGATATTAATAAAATATACAACGAGGTGATTCTAACAAGACCCCATGGGCAGTTCAGTTAGCTAAGAGATTCAAGCTTAAAGAAGTCATTGTCGAGACGGATTGCAAGTCGGTGGTCTCCAAACTCTCCAAAGGAACCTTCTTTCTCTCTGATTTAGATTCAATTTTAGAAGATGTTATGAGTAATATTTCTTGGTTCAATTTTATTTCTTGGTCTCATGTAAAGCGAGAAGGAAATTTTGTCGCTCATCATTTAGCTAGGTTTGTTCCGTTCGGCGATGAGCAAGTATGGGTTAATCATAGTCCATGTGAGATTTCCCCATACGTTCTCATGGACAAAAGTTTGATTGATTAATATAAGCTCGCTTGCGTGGTTTTAAAAAAAAAAAAAAAACAAGACCCCACATGAATATATTATCACTTATAGATTATCGGAAATTTATGATCAAAGTTTTACAAGTTTGACCCATAAAATTACAATGGGGCAAAAAATAAAGGACCAAAGGAGTATGTGTTAAGACTTAAGAGGCATTCACTGCGCCTCATAGTAACAAATCTAACATACGGAGTACTGGAGTAGCAATTTTGTAGATGTATCAAATGTTGACAGCAATATTGTACTCCTTAATATAGTCAAACTGTAACATAATTGGTACTTGGGGAGTGTAATGGTAATATAAATGTTAAATGGTACATAACATTATTTTGTTCACCTTAAAGAATATTGTTCAGGTCTTATCTAATTAAGTGTAGGGCCTCGTTCACTTCAGCTTATTTTTACTGAACTGAAATTATTTTTACTAAATTGAAATTATTTTTGCTAAACTTAAATTATTTTTACTGAATTGAAATCAATTTTACTGAACTGAAATTATTTTTACTGATTTTCTATTATATTTCTTCTTTAAAGTTACTGATTTTTACTGAACAAAACTTATTTTTACTGAACTGAAATTATTTTTACTGAATTATTATTTTAAGGTGAAGTGAACAAGGCCTAAATATAAAGTGCGCTTTGTCCAAAAAAAAAAAGAAAGAAATAAAAAGGTGTAAATATGAAGTGAAAATCGAGATTAGTTATATCTAATAAGTTATTTTAATTGTTTATCACATAACATTTTCATAAATAAATATATAACATTTTTCATAAAAGCGATTCCCACAATGATGATTACTGGATAAAGTTGTTGATTATTTACCAAATTATCATAGGATAAACAATTTTTGTTTATCCCAGTGATTAATCTGGGTTTCCTCAATTCAAAGGGCCAATTCAAATGAAGAGAGTACATGTATGTATTAAATGACACTACCATAAACTGGACCGACTACTTAATTCTCTTTCTCCCCCTCTTCCCTCGGTCAATCGGCGGATCTTCCTTATTCTCTATCACTCTACTATTCTCACTCACACACTTGCTCAATTGTTTTTGTAAAATAAAAAATTGTCACAATATGAAAAAAAGTTAACGAACGCCCCGGAGGCGTTGGATAAGATTAGTAAAAGTACAAAAATTTAATTAAAATAAATAATAATTACATATTTTTATATTATATATTGTTAAAAACATTAAGTCAATGACGACCTATAAATAGTGGAATTTTCCAACTCTAGCTTATAAAAAAATGGAGAGAGTACTAATTTAGGAAATATTTTAAATATTTATCTAACGCTTCGGGGACATTCGTTAGCATGATCCTAATATTAATAGTATTTCACCAACATTTATAAATGTATAACAGTATTGAATTATTGATGCATTTAAGTTTCTTGTTTCTAAGGGCTCATGTTAAGATTTTAAAATAATTAGAAACACCTTTTTTTTTTTGAATAATGGAGCAATTTATTGGAGAAATAATAATTTATGAGCCCACAAAACAGAAAAATTGATTGATTGATTTATAAGAGAATCCAAATTATTGAGCTTGAGCTAGTCCAACCCAATACCCAAATACGAAGTATTACAGTACAGCAGTTCAAATCATAGACGTGCAAGTTTTCATTTTATTAACAATTTAAAGATATCAAATGTAACTATTAAAAAGTGACGGAAGAAGTAGCTAGTAATTAGATCCACATTCTTTTCCCTTGAAACAAATTTACACCAAATAATACCTTGTAGGAAATTTGAAACCTTGCTAAATAAGCACTCATATTAATGGTTGAAGTCATACATTAAGGGTTCAAGCCTTAGTGAATGACTATAACTAAAAAGTATGTACACTATTTGGTAACTAGATCAGAATCTACAAAGCTATGCCGAGTGAGGAAGGCGAAAATACAGTAATAAAACCTTAGTTGAATCTAAGAGCTAAAATTGAATAGTTAGTGCTCTCTTGGTTAAGCAGCTTTCAGGAATTATCCCTGATAGTGATGCTCGTACTGGGAAGATTGCACCTCATGATGATGGTAATAATTATAAGAATGAAAATCATGATCGTAACTGTAATATTGAGGCGGTTGTGGAGGAGAGGAAGCAGAGATTTCTTCTACTTGAGTTGGCGGGCTTGAGACGTGTGCTTGGTTCTTGTCAGCCCGAACTGCATCAACTTTGACCTCATCAAACTCAACTTCCTCAAAGGAATGGAAGATTGGATGCAAATATGCATCGGCG